CTAGGAAGTGTTGTATTTGGACTATTTGGGCTATCAGAAACTCTTGGAGGATAATCTGGGCTCCTTGGGCTGCTGATTACTTCACCATTACTTTGAGGGCTTTCCCCTAACTGAGGTGTATTACCATGTTCAAAATTTACACATCCTTCTAATTTTGTTGACAATGTGTGTAGTCCACCAGATACTGTTGTATCTTTACTACATGCTAAGTCAACCTAATAAATAATTATAAATTCTGATTAATAACAACTCAAAAAGCTTTGTTATTTATTACTTCCGTATAAATTTCATAAATATAAACAAATATACATACATGAATAGCATGCTGAACTGGTTCAATTAAAGTTTTCACTAATTCATTGTTGCAATGATCTGGATTCCCTATAATACACACATACGCATAATATTTATTTTATAATATAAACTTAGTCTTCTAATTTGATTAATAATTTAATACATTTATGTTTATCTTTCATGTAGAAAAATAAACGTTTTATTTTTATAAAGTATAATAAAAATATATTTTATGTCATACAACAAAAATGTATCTTTAGTATCTAATACTTATTAATAAATATTATTAAATCAATTACAGTTATATATAAATATTTACTCTTTTTTTTATACTGTCGTAATAACCTATTAAAATAACTATAAACAATAGTTTCACTGATATAAATATCAACACGATTTTTACATCACACGACCCTTTTTAGTATATCAATTTTTTAAATAAAATCAATATATCAGTTCATGTATTTGTATAACATCAAATAAAGTTAAATATGATATTACCGTCTGGTTGTTCAGAAATACAGGTAACAGTATCCAGATCGTTCCTTTGATTGGACATGCTGTGCGATTCCAAGGAAGGCGTACGTAATTCAGTATTAATGGGAATTTTAAAACTAATACGTTCCTCCACATCACCAGAAGAGCTCATGAAATTCACGTTTCTTCGTAATTCGTTCCCTTCCGTGTTTGTATTAAACGATGACGCTGTAGAGAAAATCGTGGGCGTCCTAATTGAATGTAGAGCGAAATCGTCCGAAAATTCGTTTGTCTCTTTGATAACACTATTCCACGTTGTTCTTGACACTTTCACACTGTTTGTTTCCGCTTGTAATGGGTCAAATACTTGCTGAATCGTATTATTTACATCACATCGTTCGTTTGACACGATACTTGCACCAGTTTCGGATGCCATCTTGGTTCTGTGAGCGACGTCCTGAACATAACGATACTACGCAACATTTGATTGGATACTTCTTAGCCGCCTTTTGAATAGACCTTATTCTATTCGTCTGAAATCGGATAAAGAGTAGGGGTAAGACCAGTAGATATAGAGGTACTATGAACATTTTTATTCATTGGAATCTTCGATCCCCAATCTTATTTTCTCTGTGATTTTTTGATTATAAAGAACTATATATTGCCCATAATTCTCACTTACATTGTATAATAATCAGCATCTGAATATAAAATACTGTCTACATTTTGAAATAATTCACGTTTGTTATGAATATATGGTCTTACCGGCAAATTAAAAATCATTTTTATATTTAAATAATTTGAATTTTATCAAGTTATAATTTTGTTGTTTTTAATCTAAACCGATAATTATTTTCTCTAAAGATTGGTATAAATTTTGAAATAAGACGTAGGAATGTCGATAATATGTTGTATTATATGATATAGAAGTTTAAATAAAAAGAAATTAGAAAAACTATAATAAAATATAATTACACAACGAATTGTACAATATTTTCTTCTGAAATAAAAAATATTGGGAAGAAATAACTTGGAATAAGAAATATTCTCTTCTAAACTTTTTTGTCGCAAAAGATTATAAATATTATATACATTTATATTTCAGTAAAATAAACGTTCATCAAAATAATTAATTAATTACTATTAAACATTTCACTCCTCTAAATGTGAATAAAGAAAAAGATGTGTACATATCTTGTCATTTCTACTTCAGACTAAAATTTAAAATTAAACTAGTTGCCACTAGTAATAAGTACATCTGGTAAGTATATATTTAGGTAAGTCACCATTTTCCTGTTAATCGACAGCTATCCTTAGAATTACATGTTCGATGGCGATGCTGATATGTTTTATATATCCTCTCTAGTTTTATAAGTTAGTGAATATTGATTTAATATAATCATAAATAGCAATATAGCTGCTAAAAATATAATTAATTATCAATATCTAATGATATTCTCTTTATCTTTGTATATGGTTGTATGCTTAATCTAATTAAGGATATAGCAATTACTAATTGTTTTTAATTAAACTAAAATTTATATAAGTTACTCTATTTAGATTTAATTATTTTAACAAAAAAACATTCAATCCGTAACGTTAAAAAACATAATTTTAAATGTAAACATAATTTTATTTTATAATGTATGTAAAAGATAACAAACAACTTAATAGTAAAACATATATATATATAAAAATATATAGAACATTTGTAAGATTGCAAAAATTATATATGTATGTATAACACAGAGGATTTTAATACAAGTAAACTAATTATGAATAAATCAAAACTAATTTGGTAATTTTTCAACTTTGTATCTACTGTTCTTACCTACTTGTTTGCAGGAACAAGATTAATATTGAGGACTGTCAAATTTAAATCTTGGTTAATATTCATTCTATAGACTTTTAAGTATATAACATACTTTATTCAATTTTTGATAAGCATTGCTTCTATAATACAGTAAAAATGATTTGCATGAATTATATAATTATCATGTACAAAAATTTATATACATTGATTTTTTGCAAGATGAATTTTAATTTTTTGTAACTTTAAAAAATGTTTTAATACAGTATAATTTTATGTTTTTCTTAATTACAGTTCATTTACTTGGAAATCTGTTCATTGTATTACAAATACATTATTATTATTATTACATCATTACTCGTTTCTTAATTAAATATTAATATAAAACTATAAAGTACAATATATTATGTAATTACTTTTGTAATTGATTCTAATCTTGACTTCAAAGTCCATTTCTATCATATCTATAATGTTCAATCTAATAACAAAAGAAAAAATATATTTGAATTATGAATAACAATGTTCAATATATTATTTTTTATATTTTTTTTCATATGATATTAAAATTAACCCTAACAACTTCTAAAGTTTTCTGTTACTCACCTATAAAAACTTCTGAATTTATCATTTAATATTTGAATAAAAAGAGAATTAGATAGCAATGAGATAGAATTTAACTTAGTCATATACATTTGGAACAATAAATAATGAATATAATACTTAAATCGTAATATTTTATTTGACTAAGTTTTTGTTCTTATCACATTGAGACCCAACCATGCAATTATATTTTGTAATACCATCTTTATGTATAATTAAATTCTAATGCAAATAATCGTTATAGGTGATAGAAATTAAATTGTATGATACATATATATTTATCAATATTTTTATTGTCAACTGAACAGATAGATTTACTCACTTTAATGATTTTTATCAGTCTATAAAATGAGTAAATCTATCCATGTAGGTATCAATGTGGTAAGCAATGCCATTTATTTCTATAAAAAATATATTTTATATTGTACATCATGCATCATAAGTTGTACAATTATTTAGAAACAATAAACACATAAAATTTCTTATTTACAAAGCAAAAGACAAGTTGTAAAAATAGTCAGAGTTGTAAGGGTTAATATTATAAGTGCAAAACAATTAGCAAATTCTTTTACAATTACAATTATTGTGGTTCATAGTTATGGGATGATCTGAATTCAGTAAATATGTATAGATGAAAAAATGTACACAATATATTATGCAGACTTTTCTGCTTTAATAAAAGAGAATAGAATCTTCGTGACTGATTTTTAAATGTTACATTATCAGTTTTAACACGTTGATTGCTATACATAAAATATATTATCTATTATTTGTATTTTTGTAATATGTTATTTGTATTTTTACTATTTTCATATTAATTTTTCATGCTATTAAGTTTATAATTTTAGTGCTTGAGAAGAAACATATTCTTTTTTCTAAATTTTCAGGAAATTTGTAAGCATGATATAAATATATAAATAATTCTTGTAAAGAGCTATAATTAAGCATCTTATTGATATAATATGATTTAATTAACTCATTCTGCACATAACGATTTTGTATATTGTACATAAAAATATACGAAATTCAAAAAGTGGAAACGTCATTTATCTAATTATCTAAATAACAGATGGACTACTATGAAAACCATAATCAATATCAAACTATATAAGATCAAAGATATCTTTAAGAATATTTTTGCTAAAAATTATGAATGAATATATGAAGAAAAAGAAAATGTAAAATGAAATCCGTCTAACATATTTTGCTTAGACATTTATTAAGTTCAGTTGTTTTTTTTAAATAATTAATTAAATTAATATAGATATAAATGAATTATAATAAATATTTGTAATAATATCTAAATTTTGTATCTTTTCCTAAAATAAAAAGATCAAAAAAAATCTGAACAAACTTGGACATATTGATCACAAGAAAATATATTTAACATAATTTCAATTGTTTATATGAAACGTATTGAAAATACCACTTATTAATTATTTTAGAATACAACAGATAGGTTCAGAAATAAACTGAATGAAAATTTATTTTACTACAAGTTTAAACTTGTTCAAAAATTGAATTATTATTCTATAATTTGTATCATTTTGAAATTGTATCAAATTAATTGTAGCTGTACATATATTACATTGTATATTCCACTAGTGTAATATACATATTGTATATTTCTTTCATCATAAAAAGAATATAATTGTTGCAAACAATTAATATTATACGATCTTGTCACTTTTTCAATTAGCTATCAACGTGTTAAGATTAAACCATAAATTTATATTGATGATCACAAAAGATAACATTTTTTAAGTCAACTGGATTGCACTATCTTTCATCTTTTTGCTCTGTTTCTTTACAGTCTTAACCTTCATAATAGTCTTCCCAGACTTTCCCTTGATTGGTAGAGATTTTTCTTTTAATGATTTCATTTGTAACTTCACTTCTGCTTTTGATAATTTTTTGCTTTTTATACTCTTTACACCAAGCTTGCTGTCTTTTTTAACTTTGGTAGTAGTTTGAATCCCTATACCGGATCTTATACAAGACCCGGGTAGCTTGTACTAGGCAGCAACTTTCACTTTTTTCTTCCTCTTTTTCTTCTTTTTATCATGATGAAGTTCTTGTTTTTTGGCTATACAGGTGCGACAGTACCAATCCTCATTGTCAGCTGGTGGTACTTGCATACCAACACACACCCTATATGATTGAAAATATGTAAATTAAACACACACACAGAAAACATAAATCAACTAAATCTCGAGGCAAAAAAGAATTCTTAAGTTTTAATTATGTCATTTCATCATCGTCTATATTGTAAAGGTAATTGTACTTTGTTATGTTTTTTAAAAAGCAAAGGATAAAGAAAGAAAATAACAAAGTATTAACAAGATAAAATGTGAGGAAAAAAGCGGAATTTATTGGAGGAACAAAAGGTAAAAAAAGTAATAAAAAAAAAGAAGTTAAAATAATATAGTGTAAATATAGTGATATTAAAAACTCATATTTAAGTTGTAGTTAAGAAAATAATTTAATAATTAAAATTTTTCATTTCTAGTGGATATGTAATTTTTCTATTTTTAATATGTTCTCTAAAAAAGTAATCTGCTATGGTTTTTTGTATTTCAATTTACATAACATTTTTATAATATAAGAAGAAGTGTTAAAAGATACATAATATTAGAATTGTTTATATTTTTAAGTGTTTTAGTCAATTTGTAAAAAGAAAGGTAAAGATATGTTCATTTATATTAGAAAACAGCCTTTCTTAAAAATTTATGGTATAGCTCCAAATAATTATTGTTTTATCAACATTTACTTACCAATGATACCATGCATCACAATCATCACAACCAACCATAGGTGATCCATCATCTTGGTTACCACATGCAGGACAGAACCAAACTTTATGACCACCTTGATCCTGAAAAACTCATATGACGATAAAAATACAACATACTTCTCTTTTATGATATGTTTGGATAAACCAACCCATCTTTTGTATTGTTAACATGTTAACAATATGTTACTAAAAAGATATGTAATGTACATTAAACTCTTAACATATTTAAGAATTGTATCTTATTGTTTATACTGTAATTAGAAAATTGAAGAACTGATAAAAAATATGTGACCAAAGGTACTCAGTAGATGATAAAATTATTATAGTCCAAAATTAATGAACACTTTTTATATAATTTATATATATATAAAATAAAAAATATAATATAACAATTGTATATAATACTTATAATCTGAATAACAATATTGATGTTATGTATGTATACATATATACGCATTTATATATAATTTTATAATGCTATATATGTAAATACATAATATCTTTAGTAAGCTGAGATATAAATGAAAAGAGATCAAAGTTGAATGAAACTGAAATATTTCTGAATTAAAGTAGATACATAATTATGATTATTAACATTTATAAACTAATGAAATATCTGTTACAAAAATTAATTAAAATTTTTCATAACAAAACCAATACCTTGAAAATAATACAGAATTTATGTAATTACCATACCACATACACATATTTATATCTATCATTAAATGCAACTTATGATTTAAAAGAATAATGTATGCTGATGAATTATGATGAATTATGAATAATGTATGCATGTAATGAACATGAATATAAGTAGGGAAGGAATAACACATTTACACAAATGTTAAGGTGCTGGTCTGCGGTAATTAAACAAATTTTCACTTGGCCCACAAATATGTTTTATAATAAATGCTCATTTGCAATTTATATTTCAATTATCCAAGAACCAAGTTATCATTAATTTAGAAAAAAATTATTTAATATTTCAGGTGTATATATTTTATTAGAATTAGATATTTATCATATTTAGTACTGAAAGTTTAATTATATTCAAAATGCTTATTGTCAGATACAATATTTGCATGTCTACCCTTATTTGAATCTAATCTATTTAATAATAATTTTTTATTTCTATATTTAAAAGTAGTACCTATAATAGACAATAAATAAGAAGTCAAATATGAACAATGCACATACAAAGTGAATCACCTAACTTTAGGACCAAAAATTTCTCTATTGTCTTTAATGATATGAAAATATTTAAGTAAGGAAATATTTGTTACAGAAGACTAAATATTATGATAGAAATTTTTTTTTTAAAGCTATGGTTTTTAAGATTTTAAAGCCACTAACAATGTTTTAAATGATATGATATATTTTTGTTTCTACAACATTGAAGTTGATAGAAAGAAAAATTCATTCATATATAATTTTTAATTTTTATAAAAGATAATTTATAATGTAGAAACATAATGTATGTTTCTTCTAAGATAATTTTCATATCTTAAAAATTGGACTTGCTGAAATAGATGAATAAATATTAAACATAGAACACCAGAAAATTATATGAGCTAAATATGATTTTCAATAATATTTCAGTTATTAATATGAAAAATTTCTTAATATCTACACACACTGTTTCTACTTTAGATTGTATTTTTTAAAAATTATTCTCTAATATATATTAGAGAATTCCAAACATTCCCCATAACCCATTCTCTAAATGACCCAAACATCGACATTATGATTTTTTATGATATTTGTTTTTTCATAACAAACTCTTCTATCTGAAACATTTTCTTTCTAACACTAAAAATATAGGAGAGATTTTAAATTTTTATGTTAGATAACTCATCTTGTATAAGACGATGCAATGTATAAACATCAAGATATATGTTGTATGTTATAATTATTTAACCTTATTAGCATATAATATAATTATATATAAAAATAATATTTTCATGTTTATTATATGTTATTAATATATTGGTTGCATCAGACTCTTATTACATAAATTAATCTAAGTAAAAGATAATGAAGACTCATTTAAAATATTCTAAACTGATAATTTTAATAAGTAAAGTTACTGTATATACTGGTTTCCATACAAATAGAAATCTTGTGTGTATTATTGTTTTATATAATTTAATTTGTAATAGTTACATATTTCTATCTTCCTTCATATAGTTTTATGTAAAGTTATCTAAATGTATAAATATCCATATATATTAATATCAGCTGTAATATTTATTTGTTTATAAATATTAAAAAGCTTTCTTTTATAGAGGCACAGATAAATATATAAATAAATAGATAGATATAGAGAGAGAATGAGAAAAGAAGAAAAACAATATTTTATTATTATGTAAGTTTGATTAGCACATATAATCTGTAATGTAAGAGAAAAATTATTCTATTTTCAATATAAAATAATTTTACATAAAATAATTTTTAATAAACTTTCATTTATCCAGTTAAAGCTTTATTTATCAAGTTTTTAAATTTAATTCAAATGCTTTTTTCACACTCAATTGTCATTATATTTAAACATGAAAATTATAAATTAAATATGTGTATATAAATAAAATTATGAATTATATATATATATTAATATGTTTAAATCACATATATTATTGTTATAAAATATATACGAAGTTTTTTATATTATAAATATATGTTCTTTTTATGTTCATTTATCTATGTATATAGTTACATAAGTTGTAATTGTTATTAAAGGCAGTTTCAAGAAATTTTATAATAGGAATTTAAGAACAGTAAATGTTTTCACATTAAAAGTTGAAAACTTTTCTAATATCATAACCATGATAGATTCAGGCAGAAGCTAAAGACAACGCACAAACCCATATTTCGATAAAATTGACACAGATAGAAAATAGATGATACTTTACAAGGAGTATCTAATGACTTTTGTTTAGAATGGGAATGTACTCACCACAGTAGTGGTTGGTGTTGGGGGCAGCGCAATCCTGCCATTTTCTTTGTCTTCCTTAGCATCATCCTTTTTAAGAGCTGCATCTGCTTTCGTCTCTGTGCCGTTAAAACCGTTCGTTATATTCCTAATTGTTCTGCATGCTATGCTTAATAACGACATGCAAGTTGCATGCAATCAACCAATCCTTTGCTATTTCGTAAACTATTTCATATTTCCCCCTTTCTGTATTATAATAGTTATTCATTCAGTTTTAAGAAACTATAAAGTATATTGTTTATTAGTGTACTTATTCCCTTCTAAAATTAAATTTCTTATAATAGAAACCTTTTATTATCTATTTAAAGATTGTTATCATAAGTAAATGCTTCAATTAAATTTGTTCATAAAAAGGTATTTATATATTTTTTAAAATTTTAGCAAATTAAATTAAAATCATGAGTATATTATCTATTTTTTAAAAATTCTAGAGTTATATATAGTTAAGTTATACATTATTATTTCTCTAATGAAAGAAAAGGAATAAACAAGAATAAAAAATAACTGTAAATATATTAAATACTGGGCTTTTTGTAATTTTAAATTACATTTTACTTTTGTGCAAATAATAAATTCGTTTATAATTTACTGGCCCCTGTATTTCTTTAAAAATAGGAGATTAATATAATATTGTCAATTATTTACTCATTTTATTCACATATATTGCATCAAGTGTATTGTCTCCATATCACTTATTTTATCGACTTTTATGCAAGGAAGTATAATACTATTTTTACATCTTTAGATGTTTTAACATTGCATGTCATATAAAAACTGTAACTGAATTATATTACAATATTTCTGTTAATTTAGTGTATTTTAAATGTTCTAATGTAGGATAACACATATTATAGTATAATGCATACATAGATATGAACTACCAAAAAATTAAATTAAAAGTATTTTTTTTCTTTTTTGCCTGTAATTATTTAAAGAAAACAAAAAAAGAAAAGAAAAGAATAAATTTGGCCAATTGTATCTAATATCAATTCTTTCAAATGCAATATAAAATATCTACTTTATATTGAAAGAGCAAAAGAATTACTGAATTAAAAATGTTTAGTTATATATAATATATGTCGGAGTCAGGTTGGCATTTTGGAGCATTCTATGAACCTTTACTTATTTTACCGTCGCGAATGTAGCTAATATTTATCAGTACGAATGTGGACACTACAAGAAGCTATGAGTAATGGCAATAGGATGTTCGAGATGATGGTGACAACGAATTCAGGTTCGATAACGAATCCACGGTCCACGGGGAAATCCTGCTGTCCTTCCATCTCCGACATATATAACATATTATATTAATATATATATATCAATATGTGTGTGTGTGTGTGTGTATTGATTTAGTATTTTATAATAATCTTTTTTTTTAAATTGATTATATTTTTAATGCCATGTATATAAATTTATACAAAATTTCAAAAAAATTCATAAGCGCCTATGTTAACTTTCTTCAGTAATCAATATCTTAAAATTATCCCTGTACATTATGTATATAAATAAGATATTAAAATTTAAAAAGTAAAGCATAATGTATTTTATTATTACTGGTCATATATAGAATGCTCCTAGACACTCACCTTGAAAAAACCTAGAATACTATGTTTAATATTTTCTTTTTCTTATAGAAAATGCTGAGCAAAAAAATTACTGGAAATATATATTTGTAAATATATTAAATCTTCTATCTTAAAAGATTAAGAAGAAAGGTTGAAAAACTTTGTATATTATACTTTTTGAATGTTACACATAAGGTCTGAAATTATTATATTTGATAACATGTAATAACATATAAATTTAATAAAACATAATAAATCAACTTCTTATGGAAAATATTGTATAAAGCTTTTAAACAATTATGTTTCACTAAATATAAAATAACTAATATTTTATTCAAATTTACTTTTTATAAAAATAAGCTATGTGCTTATTTATAAAATATTCATAAAAAGTAATAACATTTTATCAATAAAAATTTTTACGTTATTTACAAATTACTTTCAGCAAAAAACTTTTATGAAAAAAGTTAAAAGACAGGTATCTATATGCTTATTATTAATATGATATAATTGTTCAATAAAATTACTTGTACCAATAAAAATGCCATGCACTTATTTTTTGGTAGTTTATGGAAAATATTAATACACTTACTCAAAAAAGCTTTTAGAATCTGTACTATCCTAAAAAAGATACATTTGCAATATATTTTATATTTTATTTTCCCTAATATATCACCCAATATTTGTTAAAATAATTTCTCAAACTCTTAATTGTAAATAAAGTTTAATAGAATGTTCAAACCTAATCTACAGATTATTGCATTTGAAACAAAATTGAATATTCCATTTAGAACAATCTAACGATTTTTTAAAAATTTAATTTTACCATGTTTTTAGATAGAAACTTTTGAATCCATCTTTATGAAGTTATACAAGAATATTCCTTTCTCCATTAAGATCAATCTATTTAAGCTACATGAAATATACCATATGTGCATTTGCATTACAGAAGAAAATACTAAAAGAAAAAAAAAGAAAGTTTAAAAATCCATTTCAATAGCAGTGTAAGTAATCAGAAAAGTCTTAGAACTTAGTTTTCTTTAAATTAGTCATTTATAAAATTTGTGGCTATTTAGTAATACTTATTATTAAAATATTTTATCATTGAAAAAATGAAAATGGATATTCTCAAAATATCTAATGGAATTAAGTTCTGAGACTTCTTTCAATACAAAAGATTCCACCTAATTGAATGTGATAGAAGTGCTAAAATTTGAAATAATCAAGTATATTGGTAATCACAACATGAAATACGTAACAATTCTAATGTAGGCTATAAAGTTGTTCTACATACACACTTTAGAGACAAATGAATCTATACAACAAAGCAGGCCAAATGAAAATTATACCGTCACCGCAAGTCATGAATGCATAGAAAGTAAAAAATGAAATATTGGGAAGCAGGGTTGTTGGATGGAGTGAAAATGGTATCAATGAATTGAGTTAATCTTTGCATAAAAAATAATCAGCTATATACGTAAAAAATGATTGAGACATTTTATATCTACATGAAATGTTTGATTGAAATTTAAATAAATTATCTGATATATTCTCATTTGAAGTATGTATAAAAACGCAAGAATGTTTAAATATTATAGCAATATTAATCTAAACAAAACTATGAATGATTATAATTAATAGATAATCAATTTAATGAAGGAGGGCTGTCATCTCAGCTTACTATACGAGATTTATTATAAAATAAAATTTTTTTCTCATCTGTGCCACTGTTTATCATTAATTCAAATCGTTTTTCTGTGTATGTACATATACTATTTTATAGTATGCTACATCCTTATGTAACACATATATTTTATATTTTAATATATGCCATAACAAATATCTTAACCCCTTGCGGACTACCACTGCATATGTGCGTTCTGCGTAAACCATCAATTTGGACGAGTAACTCATGTTTGCGTTTGACGAAAACAACTGATAGAGCCGAACGACTCATATATATGTCCCGCGTAAACGCGTTCGGCGAAAACAATTGATAGAACTAAAAGACTCATATGTGTGTCATTTTATTTATCCTGTGGAGAATTTGTATATGTACATATGTCTAGAATTTGACATTTATGAACGAAAAGCGCGTCTAAGCAGAAATGAGCACTGACAATTTTAAATGACTATCGCGGCAGTAGCTCGGCTCCACAGTACGGTTGACTTCGAACCGTACCGTCCGCAAAGGATTAATTTGTATGTATATAAGAAGCAATGAATTTAATAAAAAATATAACTATTTTTATTGACACATTTAATAAAATTATATTATATTATTTAATAAATTATATTATATTATTTAATATATATATATAATTATATTATTTAATAAAATTTATATTAATAAAAAGGAGGAAAACTATTATATCTCAACTATTTCAACTATAAACGAGAAAAGATATGTTAAAATCGATCATAAAAATTTAAGAAAATAATGATTAAAAATGATTATAATATTATTTCTTTTGAATGTGTAAGTTATGACAGCCCTATTATGATTCAATTGTAATTTTATAAAAAGGTATCTGATTCTTAACATATTTGAAATATTCTGAAATATTTGAAAACCTAATTAAATGTTATACTTAAAAATATAACATTTTTATATATTTGAAGTATATGATTATCATATAAAAATGTACTTACAAAATAATACGGTGGTGGTTGTTGTTGCGTCAGAGGAGGTGGGAGCTTAGGAGCAGGATCAAATTGAGATGGAGGAGTCTCTCTTTGAGGTAAGGCTTTGAAGAGAGATTTCTTTGCTCGAGGAACTGTTGCGAGTGGCACACTAGTAAGATTGGCAGAGAAAGTATCTGTAGGAAGAGCAGGGCTTCCATCTAATGTTCCCTCCTCTGTTTTCTTACTTGCCGACTTTTGCTTTGGCGGCCGCGTTACTAATGCTGATATTTTCGCCAACTCGGGACTTGGTTCTCGTTTCGTCTCATCCTCGGGCTTCTTCAGCAATGTCTTTATAGTTCTATAACACATTTCCCTAATAATAATGTATGCGTTATTAAATACAATGCGTGTGTTCAACATTAACGCATAATACGATTCTTCATACAACAAGAAAACAAACACAACGGAAATCCTTATAATAGCACAATAAGAAAACAAAACACATGAATTGAAATCATCACAAAAGTACTTATTGAAACTAAAAGAAGAAAATTAAAATTATCTGTGAACTTACATTTTCTTCATTGGAGCAGCATCAGGCGTTGGAGGTCTTGGAGAAGCTGTACCTAATTTTAGTGTTATTTTTGGTACAGCTTCTGAAATTTTATCTTCTTTCTATAATAAAAAGAAATTAAAACATTAGTCTCTTAATTTCAAATAATCTCACAAAAAATAATAGAAAAGAAGGCAGTAGAAATATTTATAAAAAGTGACTTTTCTACCTCTTTCTCTTTTCGCTTATCTTTCTTTTCTTTCTTTTCTTTAATTTTATCCACCTTTTCCTTTTTATCCATTTTATCCTTTTTTTCTTTTATTTTCTCCCCTTTCTCTTTGTGCTTTTCTTTCTTATCTTTCTTCTTTTTTAATTTATCTTTCTTTTCTTTCTTATGTTCCTTTGATTTCTGAAAATAAAATTTATATGTAATAATTATTTAATAATAAAACTGATATACATATACACTTTTATAAATTATTTGGGGAAAATGTTATTTTAAGTTTTAATATTTCACATTATCAGTTTACTTCCAATAAAATTTTGATTTTGATTATCTAAATAGGTCTGTTAAATCGATATTCAAAACTTTGTACTAAATTTTGATTTTTGGAATTTCCTGAATTTAACCGTTTGAAACCAAAAAAACAAAATTATCATTTCAAACATTAAATCGAACATCTTATTTCTATTCGAATTATTTTTAATAGAAATTATTATACAATAAAGTGTATAATTGGTGAAATTCCATCAATTGAAATGAATTCATACCTGATCATATTATATTTGAGTAATTTTAAAAATGTTCATTAGACCTCAAATGACTTCGAGTATCATTTATTTTAACTTATGTATTTGTTTTTTTAATCGAAAGTTCGACTATTCAATAATTAGAAGTTATTTTGAAAAATCTTTCCTTTAAATCTTAATTGCACATATCATTGTTCTTTATTGTATTCAGAGAGTTTGATTCTAAATATAATTTAGTTTTACCGCTATAAGAAGTTATTTTTTTCATTCGAAAATTTCAAATAAATCTTGCAATTCTCTTCCTTTATCTTTAGTCTAGAGAAATTATTATATTCTTTGACATTTTTTTACAACATACATATTTTATGCATAAAGTTAATTTGGAAATTAACATCTCAATAAAGTATTAAAAATTTTTAACTCAAATAAAATAAGCAAATTTATATCTTCATTCTGCAAACTCATTTACAAATATAACAATATGATATAAAAATTACTTAGTAGCTCTTCTGAATAAAATAAAAAAGAATTATCCATAAAATTAGTAAAATAGGAGATGGAATTGTATACAATACAAATACATCAAAATTAGTAAAAATTACAACTTTTATAAACAATATCTCCTTAATTATTAAGTTTTGATAATAATTTATGTTTAAAATCATGCTTTAAATCGAGTATTAATTTTGCATGTGTCATAAACATAATGTGTTATAAAATAACTTATACTTTGTTCTTCCCCTTTCTTGGTTGAATCAATGATTTTAACATAACTCATAATTATACATACAGATATGTGATTCACATAACTAAAAACGGCTTAATATACTGAAATCTGTTTGATATATTTGAATTATTCTTGTTTTAGCTCTTTGTAATCTGCGTATCTAGACATATCTTTTATTTCTTTACTTGTTTTCTCGTACAATGTGAAGACTGAACTTCAAAAAAACACATATTTTTAGAAAATTTGGAATTTGTGTAATGTACTGCTATATAAATCACCTATAATCTCTTTGTGTCCTCTTAGAGCGGACATCTGAACTTGTTAAACTTACGATGTTCCTCCAAACGGGGACAACCGAGTGCAAAGGGTCAAATATGTGTTAGATTTGATTTATTCCACTAGGAGTTAAACTGGTTGGAAAATATCTTGTTAACATCTTTTTTCCATGTAAATTTTTGAGCTAATGCATTAAAAAACCCTCGCGATTTATCAAATTTGAAATCAAAATGATTAAAAAATCAACCTCCTAATTTTCCAAATGTCATTTATATGAATATTTATATATATTACAAATGTATAAATAGTAAACACATTAACTTTTATATGTTAACATTGCGATAATTGTTAAAGCTGAAAAAATTTAAGTAACTAGTAAAATAAAAAATTACCTTATCATTTTTATCCTGTTTTTCAATTTTGGGACTTTTTGAAGATAATAACGGCACAATAGGTACTGGTTTAGGGTACATATTTGGTGCTGCAAGTGCAGATGATAAAGGCGGTGCAACGGTACTCGTAGGAACTGGTGGAGGTATCTCTTTGTCCTGTTTAACCGCCTTTGATTTATCTCCTTTTTCTCTCTCCGTTTTTTCGTATTTTGTCATTGAAGGCGTTGCTTCAGTAGAGGAAGGTGTTGAAGGAAGCTTTTCCCGATCGAGAGGTTTGGTTCTTTGTAAAGTGGAGAAATCTTCAGATTTTGGTGGTAAATTTAAAAAGCGAGGTGGTAATGGTAAATTTGACATTGCTGGATGAGCGCCACTACTACCTCTTCCTATAGGTAATGGAAATCTAGGAAACATTGGATGCGGTATTAAACCAGGTGCTGGAGGAAATGTGGGGAAAAAAGGAAATGGAAGTGTCGGTGGAAAACTTGGTTCTTTGGAAATCTGAGGTTCAGGTGCCTGTGGTGTTTTCGGTCGATCTAGTATATCCTGTTCTGGCGCATCGTTGATAATCTTTGTCTGAAAAACGGTAATCGCATATCGGCGATGTCTTTCAGCGTCTTCTTCAAGCAATTAATAGTGCTCGCATACACGTACACGCACGCGTGCACTTGTGTTAATATCATATAATGCTATTTCTAAATAAAAGTCAACCTACCTTTTTTGGACTAACGCAATGTTTTGGGCTTCTTGATTTTAATTCCTTTTTTTTATTAATCTTTTCTTTTCTCTTCTTTTTATGATCTGTAGGTGTTGTGGGCATGTTCAATTCCGGAGTTCTTGGTGTACTGGGAGTTCCTGGTGGTGACATATCATCAAACATGTAAACATCTGATCCTGGACTTTGTAAACCAATTAATTCTCCTCCATCTGGTTGAAGGTGGACGTCTGGCGTATGTGGAGTCTTTTTTTCTTCTCGTTTCACATCACTATCATTACGCAATGCTTGTTTATCAATATTTTCATCAATAACTAAACCAGGTGAACTTTCTCTTGAATCAAGTTCTTTGTATTTATGTTGTATGTCTGATATGTCTTTTTCTTTATCCTCTCGTGGTTTTGAAATCTTTTTAAAAATGTTCAATTTTTGCTTATCTGGCTCTGATGGAAGTTTATCAATAGTGTCTTCTTTTTTTTCATTAGATGGTGGAGATCTACCAGTAACGTCGACTAATTTTTCTGGTTTTGTCTTTGGTTGTGTACTTTTTTGTAATTTTGGGCTAATAGCTGTTTTAGGTGATACTAATTTAGGAGTAGATGGTCTGCTTGATGAGCTTGGCATAGTACTTTGTAATTTCCCACCTACTGACTTTAAAGGTTTTAATTTAGCTAATTCTTTCATACCAGCCAACTTTTTAATTTTATTATCGTCTATCTTATCTGGTTTAAATAATTCCTTAGCACGATTCTTTTTCTTATTTTCTTTATCAAGTTTACAATCTTCTAATCCTTTCTTTACAATCTTTTTCGGTTTTTTATCATACTTTAGTTCGGGGGGTACCATAGGATAAGAACTAGGTTGTGACGAATCTGAACAAGTTTGATGGGGGGTTCTTGCTTCAGGTAGTTTTCCTTCTCGAGCAGGCGATAAAAAACCTGAAGTAGTCATCATGACACTATGAATTTCACGTAATGGTCTACCTTCTTCCAGTACTTTTACACGCTTTGTTATAGGACTTTCAAATGAGACAGGATCTCCTGGTCGCTTAAATACTACTTGTGGTGACATCCTATGAGGAGATACATTTATAGAACTGTTACTTGATGTACCACTATTCAATGTTAAGTCGGATGTCCCATTTAATAAATTTTCTGCTTTCTCTGCTATATATTCTTCTGTAAAATAATGTGAACAATATGTAAATTAATAAAATTTCACTCTAATTATATAATTTCCTGTTTATTAAAATTATTTGAGATCATTAATTAAATTGATATTTATTTTTCTACAAGAAGTTGAGATACTAAATATTCAATATTTTTACTAGCAATAGTTTACATGTTAGGTGTAAGCATATCTTAATATACATACAAATTTGACAAAATCTCTTTTTACATGAACAATTACTTCATAGATTATTGATCACGACAATTGTTTATAGATATACTAACTTTTCTAATAAAGCAATGTAGACTAAAATAATATTTTATTCTTATATTTCCATTACATTATGATGATCTCAAATAAAAATAAAATTTTATGTAATAAGAAAAAAGTCTGTCATATTATATATATAAGAATCTAAATATTTCTTATATTGCTTAAGTTATTCATCATTGTAACAGCAAAATAAGATATATTTTATCGAGATAGATTGTACGAAGAATTACAATCTACATTTATGCAAAATTTGACAGTTTTGGTGAAATTCTTTCCAATTTTCATATCTAAAAAGCAAAACATTTGAAACATTGGGTTGTAAATAGTATAGTAAATAATAGTAATAGTAATAAATAACATAAATAATTTTGATCAAATAAAGAAAAATATTGAGTTTAACCAAACTTACTTATGTTACAACCCAATATATAAGCAAAATAAATTTCTTTATGTTCATTTCAATGCTTTATCTTTACTTAAAAGCTTTCTTTGGTACAATCAATACATGTGGTTGAAATAACTTGTTGTGTTTTTAAAAGGTTATCCTGCATTTCAGAAATACTTTATTAGGAGCTTTATCTGGGGTTAAACAATGACATTAATATGAATATAAAATATTTTGATATTCAGTTTTAAAACATTATATGTGTATTTATATGTGAGTAATAATTTACCTTCAGTATCAGGAAACATGGCTGGTAAATGTTCATGTACATGTACGGGCCTTGTTACAACTTCCCGGCTTCCAGGTTTCAAAAAATTTAGATGATTTTCCCGTTGAACTGGAAATTTTGGTACTGTTACAGGACATGGGACAGAATCTACATTTTTTATATATTCTGTTAACTCTTGTATATCAATATTCATATGTCGAAATGCTAAACCTAAATCATCAAGATTTGCTTCTGTTCTTCCCACTGAAAAAACATTTAATATTATATTTAAAATGAAACTACTATGATTTAACTTTTATATACTGCGTAATTATTTATAAAGCCAATAGAATTATCTTGATATTGTTTAAAACTTCAATTAAATCTCTGTAATATTTTAAAAATACTTACAGATTTCTGCATATTGATGAGCAAGTCTTGAAATTTGTAAAATATATTCTTGCATAAGATCAACCATAAATTCTAATGGTGTAGAATTGATTGAATGCCATCCAATCGTTTGACAAATTTGAGCAACCACCATTTTTAAAACACTCCTACTATATTCTATTGACATCTTCAACTGAAAAAAATAATACAAAATTATTAATTATAATGGAAAGTAGCAAAAATCGATAACTGAAAGAACATTACTAGAACTTTATAGTTTAATACAGATATGTGTCATCTTTTAGTAAAATAGTGAGATTCAATAAATTATTTTCATTAGATGTAAAAATGATTTAATATGAAATTTTGCTTTCACTCACCAATGTAAAAGAAATTATATAAGTTCTAATTCTTTCGTTTATTAATATAAAATATCTACATACATTTCTATTCTACTACTCAGCTTCATTTAGCACTTCGATGTTAAGTCATGCAATTCATTTTGATAATAATACACGTTTCATTTATAATGTACGTAACACAATGAATGTAGAACGAAATCCGTTTTTATTGCTTTCACATTTTTTAAATGTATTTTTGCTTCTTTATAACCATTGATGCACATTATACACCATATACGATAATGGCGGATAATTTCTTTAGTCATAGAAGTAAAAAAGATAGCGTCGTCTTAGTTGTATTTGACTCATTTCTGTTAAAGTATAAAATCTAGCCAGACTTGAGTATTAAAAATGTTCTATCATTATTATTACATTACTTGTTACATACATTTACATAGATTTTATTATACGAATATAATTTTATGTAACCACAAATTAATTCCATAACAAATTTGACAAAAAAAAAGATATGACTTTTACTAAAAGTTATTTTCTTTATTACAAAAGAAATATCAAGATGTTATATTCCATATTTATTCACTTTTATTCAAATCACACGATAATATCATCAATCACAATACATATGCATTTCGATATTTATTAAATCCACAGACTAATAAATGGAGAGATGATTCTATTGTAAGTGTAACTAAATACAGAGATAGGTATCTCACATACTCTAATATCACGACGAATAGATATATCTAGTACAGTTTCAGTCCTTTTTACAAAGTAATATATGTAAATGTAAACAAAACTTTTACTCGGTAATATAGCATAATATATTTATCTATATCTTTTGTATAATGAAAAAATAAAATTGAATCGTTAATTTCGTCGTTTCATTAAACAATACATTTGTAGTAATAATTATTAGAAATATGAAAAAATTACTTGTTAAATAATAATTTGTGTAGCATTCAATAAATAGAAACGAATAATTGCTGCAATAATAATCTCAATCCAGAAAGAAAATTTTAAGGTAATATCTATATGTATGTAAGAAATATATATTACTTATGTAAGTAATATATGATTCCTAATATCAGATACCTAATATAAATATTACGTAAATAAAAGTTGCTCATATATCGAAAGTATAAAAGAAGCCGTCCGAAAATTGAGTCGCGAACAATCAACATGGAAGACAAGAAGTTCACATTCTGCGCATGCGTGATATGCTATGAATGTTTTAAACAGAGACAGGATTCTCTACCCACCTCTATCTGTCTCGCAAAAACGAGAATTTTGTTGTGTTTTCCCTAGCGAGTGTCACAATCCATTTATATGATCCTAGTCAAGATTATGGACATAGGGATATCGTATGAACCGACCATAAACTTCACGGACAGTTGCGAAGTATGAAGCTACTTACGAGAGCGGAAAACAAGGTCATGTGGTACTTTGGGGCCGCATTGCTTATTGGTTCGAGCATAAACGCGCAAAATAACGTTCATGACAAAATTTTTTCATCAACTTTATTATTTATTACATGTACATCTATTGGTCCTTAAATAAGATTCGTTTATTAAATACAATTCGCATACTTGTTGATGAGATTATAAATTTCAATATGGCGGATTAATATTGTGTTTACATGTGGCGACACTGTATCGTTGAATATAATTCCTATGTCCGCCGCAACAAATTGCGGAAGGCGCAAGAAACACTAATTTTTTTCCAGATCGGTATGTCAGGACCTGAAACACAAAGCTGCATAAAGTCCCATCTAATGTCATGTCTACCCCGTCCTTATTCAATGAAAGTACATCCATGTTGCGATAATGCCAGGGAATGAATATTATATATAAGCACATATATTTATAAAAAGTAAAAACCCAAATATTGTCGGAAATCACAATAAAGGACTTATTTAGCGACAAATCAAAGTAAATCCGAAGAAAAATGTGGAAATTGAAAGGAAATTGATGTCAGAAAGTTATTTACCCTCAGAAAGAAATTTCGAACGAAACAGTTTGCAGGACACTAAGAAAAGAAGAATATAATGGTAGAGTTGCACGAAAGAAACCGACCTTTAAGGTAAATGAACGTATAGAATTTGCAAAAGCGTTTATAAATCATGATCATAGTTTTTGGAAATGAATCTGCGATCATTCCCGATGAAACTGAAATTAACTTATTTGAACGAGATAGGAAGAAACAAATTGTATGGAGACAGCCTAATACCAAAGTATCATTATAGTGTAGTAGAAATACATGCCCAATAATCAACCACGGAGAAGGATCTTTTATGTTACGGGGATGCATTATATGGAGGAGGATCATTCGTTAACATATACGAATAAAGTATATATATCTGTTATTGAATATATATGTTTGTATTCAATTTCCCGCCAATTTTCATTACCAACATAGGTATGCGCTCAGCTTTGTAAGTAACTGTAAACCATACGAAATTTTGTGTTTAAATAATTAACATCGTTGTTGTTTCATACGTTCAAAATAGCGATGAGAATTGAAAATCTCGCCGATAGTAGAGTGCGATCTATCATACGCTTTTTGAATACTGAAAATGTTCGTCAACCTTTCCAACATTTTAAATGGAAGGTATTGAAGGATCGTGCCTACACTTGGCTTATAACAGGTAGGTACACCCTAGACTTGGCTCCGAACGAATATCATATTTTTTTAAAAGATTTATTATTAGTTTTTAATACGTTGACGCTTCAGAGGGAACGATCATTTAATCCTACTGCGTTTTTTGAATCATTTTAGATCCAACAACCTTCGTAACATAATATTCTGTGGATAGATGAATATGAGTTTTTAAACAATGGTGTAGACTAGCGATTTTTTGTGTGTCATATAGAAATTTCAGTATGACCTTGACATTTTATCGAAGGAAAAATTTTTTGGAAATTTTGTATATTGCAATTTGCAAGCACTGTGATGGGATATAATTATCGTGATAATAATAATAAAATTTGAAATCCGAAATGCACAAGTTGCAAGACACTTTTTGTAAACATACACTTAGTGGAACTTAGTATACAACACGAATAGCAGTCTTAAGCATAGAATTAGTTGTAAAAATGGTTTCATGGTAAATATTGCTTATTAATATAGTGAACAATTGACTGTTCATTTACTTTGATGATTCTTGTTATAGTGCTAGTTTAGTTTCGTTATAGTGCTAATCAGATATCAAAATAGTTTGTACGATTTACGCGTAAAGGGTCTAAATGTGTTTGAATACTTTTTTGATCTATTGTTATATTCTAAATCATTAGAAGAATCGATCAAATCATCATTATAGGAAAATTTTAAGGTAAAGTTCTCACTGCTCGTTACAAAATTATTTAGATCGTATAACAGGACATTGAAAGCGAGTGCCGCCCTGTACACATGTATACGCCTAGTCTGCTTTTCTTCTGACCGATTACCTTTCCCACGGCGGCTTACAGGAACATAACCGCGTTTATATTACAGTCTGTCGTGCGCATTTAGTCACAGGCGAGCGTGCACATACACGGGCAAACTTTAACATACGGTTCACTATGAGAAATTCTCATTGCGAGGGCGATTGTCTGTTGCAATCATGAAACATCGCCACTGATCCAGTTTGAAAATCAAACCTGTAGAATCTCTATACACGATTAAATCGATGAAATAATGTTTATTAGGATGCGCGCACGCGTTTCTTTCCATTCGAATCAACGAGTTTCGTTTAATTTGTGCAGATCTATTTATGTAATTAAATGTATTCACATATCTGCCAACTTAGCAATTCTGATAGCGAGTACATGCCTTTTCAATGTTTTACACACGTACCCTTGTAATATGATATATTGTGGGAACAAAAATGATACAAGTTCATTATTAGATTAGCTTTATAATGTACTTGAATTTGTGATATTGTACTTGATTACAATATTACCCTTGACTTTGATAACATTCACTGTTAGTCTTCGAATACTCGTAGAACCAATGACCACAATTGCCTATACATTTTTTAATGTTACTTAATAATATGCGTAACATAAAAGTACAATTAAAAATAATTGTCATGATCTGTTTTAATTTTATAAATCTATTTTTCTATTTACTATATGGATATAGATATATGCTGATATGATATATATATGGATATAAACATTGAAATGTGCGAAAATGTATAAAATATCTGTAATGTGCAAGAATATATGAAATATGCAAAGTAAGGTACTTTTTATAGCAGTTAGGGGATGAAGAGAATTTTTATTTAGGTCCCATTTCTTTAATGGCGTACACGAAAATTTAAATTTGCATAATATCCTCTAGGAAGTTATTTTATCTTCTTATGTAATTATTTGTAATAATAGTAACTAATAATAGCAAAGTAATATTAACTATTTTATTGGCAATATTTATTTATTGGGACATTTATACATTTTTAAATTCTCAAATGTGTCAGTCAGAATAATAGTAGCGGTGTATCTCCAATTTTATTAAAATCAAAATCATACCACATACATGTTCAAGACAATTAAAAAGTATCGGTATAACAATTAAGTATCTGCATATATATTATTTTTACCATATTAAACAAGATGATATACTTGTACATTAAATATATGCAACATTAGTGGGAGTTACACCGCCATTATTTTGAACCACTCAAATAATACTTACGATTATATTTACGTGGATATATATTAATGTAATAAGTGGCCTTATTAAAATCAAATTAAATACGTACGTACATCTAAATAGGGATATATAAAATAATCTAATATATCTTACATGTGTGGTCCAGTCGCTTCTGCGGTTAGTCTTGGTTGTTTATTCACGTTTATTCAAGTTTACTTATATTTTTAAACAGTGTCCCAAGTTTAGTAGATTTTAGTACCCGGTGATTTGCTCTCGAATTTCTTACATTCACCGTATTGCGCTCACCTAAGCGTACGGAACGTCGTGCTTTCCTTTCGATCAACTTCTTTGCTATATACCATGTATCTTATATTACTAATTTATGTTTACATTAATTTTACAATCAATTTTCAAAAAGGATCCCCTTAGAGAATCACGATATAATTAATCGCAATTGTAAAAATAATAATTCTACATTTCCAATCAATTGAGCTGTTTGCTCATATAACTGTTGTTTGAGACAGTCACACAGATTAATTTTGTATTATGTTTTACTACGATTTGATTTGTTAACTTTATCCTGTATTAAGAGCCTATTTGTTACTCGTAGTAAATAATTCAGATAAGAACTTATTTTGTTTGTTGGATGAAATGAACAAATCATTATCAGTCAGTACAACTAATTATTAGTGCGCAATGTCTTTCTGCATATTAATTTCTGGATATAACATTTTTGAATAAATCCATCTTGAAAGTGCTTAAAATTATTTATGCGGATGTAATTTCTATTTGTTTCTAATTATTATGGTAAATTCTTAAGAGCGTCTTATATAATCCATCATTGTCCTGTCGTATCGTGCAAACAATATTAAACTTACTCGATATGATTATGAATAGTAGAAATTATACGAAATTGTAGAGATATAAAGAGATGAATGGAAAAATAGAAAAGGAAAAACACGCTATAAAAGGATACAAATTAAATTGAAGTTTATAACGTCGGTTAAACAGCTGTTAATGATCTTGACTATTATAAGAATTCATATATATATACGCAAAGTAAGAAAGTAAAATACTTCTTATAATTTATAATACCCAGTAGCCGAACAAATTTCCATTTCTTTAGTGTCGATAAAAGTAAACATCCGTGGGCTATTTATACTGTGGTATATCGCATTGTTAAAATTCCTTTGAATTCTGATCTGTATTCAATAATCTTATCGCAGTTTCGTTTTCACACTGTAACTTTCAAATGCTATGAATATGAAGTAGCTGCATCTGCAAGTCAGTATGTAGAATTCATTGTTAGCAGTAAAATAAGTAACGATGTCTATAAAATCGACGTGCATTAATGTCTTTGTTTCCTGAGGTTCGTGTACCGGCGATGTGCACCTAGAAACAGTTCGTCGCAGAAAAGTGGTAACAACCCCACCTGGTTTGCTCGGGTGCGGCCTTTCCCCTTCGTCTATAAAGCCACTAGGAATCTACTTCTGCCGAACATTCACTCGGCGCTTCGTCACTCATTTGTTCACCATGTGGCTGCTTATCCTCGCAGGTGAGTATGCTACGTCATGCATTTCATGGGACAAGGACGAGTATTTTGGTGCTCATTCTAACTTGTGACTATTAGTACGTTATTTGTGCAGACTATTTAAAAGATCGGTCGAAAGAAAAGAAACAAAAGTAAGGGAGAACAGTGCGTGCTACGAGATTGATATATTTAATCATGTGTGATTTTATGAATATTAAATTTCTTGGGTACATGTAAGTGCGTTTGACGTTTCAACGCGTGGTAAATACTTTTATTTCGAACACGTTCGACAAATTTGTTATCTTCGAAAATTACTCTCTCAATATTTTCATTGCACAAATTTTAAATCAAATCTTGCGATAAGATATCGATATAGAATATACAAGTAATTCTACACGAAAATTTAACAAGGCAGGTTTATTTATGAGGATTTTGTGACAGTGTCTCACTTTTCTCACTCTTTAGATCACGTAGTTCTCGTTATGTACAAAATTTGATATCGTTAATGAAGCATAGATGATCGTGATTTAAGTATATATTTCTCTTTAATGATGCCCTTTTTACTCGTATAATTTGTATCTTGAGCAAAAGTTGCATCAAGTTATATCAGTTGGGACTGTTCGTTAAAATTAGGAGCAGGCAGCAACACTTTCCTTGATTCTCCGGATAAACTGCGCACGTACGGTAGTGCATTCGTATTAGAAACTTGCTTCCCGAACAACTCGGTTACTTTCGCGTTTCAACTTATACAAATGTGTAGAATGTTGACCGCATAGAGAGATCAAAAATTTTATTTCCTGCATACTAGTCTTTGGACATAACGTTTCTAAATAAATCCATCTAGAAAATTAACAATTTGTTTTTAATGATTGTCGTAAATTCCTAACAGCGTCTTATAAAATCTAACATTGTATCATACGAATGATATTAAATTTATTTGATATGATCACGAATGGTTTATTATGGTTTATTATGGAAAAGCAAAAACATAATGTCGTTTAAACAACTGTTAATAGTCTTGGTTGTTATGAGACTAATATATAACCATTATTATAATTAATTTAATTAATTAATCAGAGATTTGTCGCAGGTCTAATTTTGAACCTTAATCCTCTTTTTCTACAAAACTCTTTTATTTCGTTATTATAATTGTGAATATTTTAAATGATATATATGTGTAACAATTGTATCATTTTGGTATGAAAATTTGATCGTGTATGAATATAGGTATTTGTATACTTTCTCTACGTGTGCATGAGCGCGTTTACCGTGACATACCTACATAGTAATTATATTCGACACAGACCTGAACGAGATTCATTTGAAATATTTCTTTTAAAATAAATTATTTCTTTTACAATAAATACAAATTTTAAGCAATGCTACTCGATTGTTTCACGATTAATGTATTTTAATCAATGTCGCGTCTTTTTTGTTATGTTTCTTAATTAGAAGAATTAAAAATTAGTCGAACGTTTGTGACAGTAATAAATTAGGAAATTGTTTGTTTTCAAGAAATGGCATGATGTTATTTCTTAACGGGAAATTAAAAAATTGTTTTCGAAATAACATGCGATACGATTTTTGGATAATAAGTCAAAATCGTTAAATTAAGTGGAAAGCAATTAATTTAACACTAGACTACGAGCATTTGCGTAAATTTATATTCTTATGAATATAATACTAAATAAAAAAGAAAATAGGAACTCGGCTAGATCTCATCCATTAAATATCCTAAAGAGCACTATACTTTGAGTGTTTCACGTACTTTTACATATTATGAGCTTTCTAGACATTTTTGTATTTTTAAATCTCTCATAAATGCATATAACTCCGCGGATTAATAATTACTATCCAACCGTGGTGAAACTTTTACCGTACGTATTTACCAAACTTTTGTTGTTCGAGACTTCCGGGTGTAAGCTAGATCTACTAGGTACTATATTACATCGGGGTTAAATGATACGATGTCGTTTGACCCTTCTAATCTTTAAATGCAAATTACTGATACACTGTGTGCTGCGCAAAATGGTAATTTAAATAAGAAGCGAATGGCTCCGAGAAAGCCACAGTTTGGTACACTTTTCCGTACACGGACGCGTAGAGGTCATATGAACATAAAATACTTTCTTTTTAAATGGTATTATATATTTTTTAATGCAATAATCGATACAGCTCGTTGTTCTCCTTAGAAAAAGTACTCGGCCTATAATTAATCGCGAATATTTTAGCTTTGATTCGTCAAATTTAACGCTTGAATATTGCATTGTATTTTTCTTTCTCTTTCGTGCGTTAAATTTGACGAATTAAAGTTAAATTATATATCTTTTTATAGAGAGTACCCAGCTTTAAAGAAACGTATATCACCTCCATATAATTTCTACGTGTTCGTCTATAAAAAAGTTATTTACACTAGATTGTCACTTTGAAACCATTCACTTCTTATCTGAGCAATTTTTTTATACAACACATAGTGTACGAGTAATTTGCGTTTACAGATTAAGACCGGTCAACCTGTACGTATGTGTAATTTCCAGTGAACGTGGACACAGTCTACATTCGAGTCTCGATTAGCGACGATTTGCCATTTATGCCATTCAATTTATCTTTATTTCACGTAGCTCTTTCATTACTTGCTATTAAATAAATTTGGAAAAAAAGAAAGTATTGGGAAACGATTATTTCGATCGAAATCAACTAATAAATAATTCATCCTATGAAGCGACGTTATGATTAATCGGCCGATTATTACGCGGTGCAAAATCCGACAGTCTACCAGTGATAATTGTGTTATACGTCTTAAAATAACAGTGTCAATTTTTATTCAAGAGGGTTGAAAAATATTTCACACCTATATCGCTATACTTTTATATTCTACTTCAAATAAATAAATGTAATTTTTGTACGCAACACTTCACAGCATACTTAAACTGTTTCCAAAAATAGATTATTTGTTACGTAACTGTAAAAAATAAGATATTACTTTCAATTTTCTGAAAATGTTCAGATCAGATTCGAAGTTAGTGAAATAACGTACGCCGTGGGAATAATTTAGGTAAGATGACATTATTGTTATGCGTGTGAATCTAATTAACGAGTTACGGCTCGTGTGAAAAGCTTTAAAACGTGCATACGCTTAATCCAAATTTTTAATTAATCCCTTATTCTTGTTAGTTAATTTATAGAAATACTGACTGATAAACTAATGGAAAACAGTTTTTATTTTTGTACAAACATAATAATCAGTTGCTTTATTTGTATTATACATAGAATTGGTGTACATTTATTGAACAATTAATGCAAAAGTAGAAATAATTTTTTGCTTTCCGTGATATATTTTTTAATAAAATCACTTAGTTGGAGAAGAGGTCATAGAAATATAAAAAAAACATATTTATTGTACATACAAATTAGTGCGTCTGACATTATTTTGCGCAATTCTATTGAAAATTCCATTGGTCTTTTACTTTCACATTGAGATTCGAACTTAAGTCTTATGAAAACATATAATAAATATCTTTTAAATCGCATTCACTCGTAAATGTCCACCACCTTGCGTCTGAAGCAATCAATCATAATGACACTTTCTATTTCGATCATTTCGTGAGAAAACTAGTTGAAAATCTAATAAGGAATACAGCGAATTATCTTGGTATAAATAAAATAATGCAGCATATTAAATTATCCTATTTTATTCCGCGATATATCGCATTTCTTGTTACTAATTACCTTCTCTAAATTATTCTGATATAAATATTCGATATCAATGTACTATATGCTTTGTAACAAACAAATTTTAATTATAGTAATACAGTAAATTTAGTATAAATTGTCTAATAAATGCAGTATAGTGAATTTTAAATATAGTAACAATGTAATTAAAATTGGACACAAACATTCCACATTCTATATTTTACATTTTACATTCTATATTTGGACAAAAGTCGTAATTTTGTAGAATTTATCACCATCGATTCATACATCTCAGAACTAAGGCCAAATAAGTGTTTACTTCTGTGTTTGTGTGCGATACGATATGAAGTAATTATAGAACGGAAGGGTAAAAATATCTAATATTAAATTATTTAAAAGCATCGAGTGTGAAAGATTTGTTAATTTAAAAACTGATAACAGTCGTTTTATGATTATTGTATTGGACAAGAAATATAGATTTCTCTATAAAGATGAATACGTGTCTATTCGTTATGAGATGATAGAACAAAAAATTACAGATTACTGTTAAAAATTAATTATAACACACATATTATGTACATTGTATTATTATAATATTAGAGTAAATTATAAACATTTAAAAAGCCATGAAAAGACAGATATGTTTTTGTAGAGTGAAAATTTAATTAAACAACATTATATGATCATTGGTATTTGTTTATCATTCACAATATAGAAGAAACTGCAATTAATATACATATAATTATAATAAAATATAGGATATTTGAAAACTATTTTTCGCAGAAAACAATCCGTAGAACATAATTTTGTCATTTCTTTTGCAGACGAAAGAACAAAAATATAAATGTCTTATTAGAAGAAATTATGGAAATTATTGTAATATTATATCTCGCAGTTTGCAATTTCATTTTGAGGTTTCTAAATGATGAATGAGTATAGAGTCAATTAGTCATCATAATGAGACGCAAGGATGTACGAACTATCTTGGATCGACAGGTTTCATTGACTTTCTAAGTCATCATTTGATTGCATTGACTTCCGGTAAAGGCTTTGCAAGATTTATGTAAGATTACTATGCTCCTTGGTTATTTTTATATCTATGTAAATTTAATTTCCAGCTTAAAGAGAATCTTTAAGGACGATGAATATCTGTTCATAATTAATCGAATACTATTATTATTATTTATTCTATTTAAGGTCAGGTCAATCATTTTTTATGGTCACTAGCTACCGCGATTAAGAAAATGCATAACAAGAATATACAAAAATAAGACGTGTAAAATACGATAAGGCAATACAAGTTGCAAACATTGTTAAATAATAGCATTCGTACATTTTGAACATATGTACATACGTATCATATGCAGTACAATTACAATACAATACAGTATGGTTAACAGTAATATGATACAGTATATGTTAGAATTAAATCGATAGATTGACAACATGGTAATTGGCGATATAAATTAATATCTTTGAGAAAATAAATTTTGCAATACCCTTTACGATACAGACATATCTGAATTTCATTTGAAAGAGCGAATTTAATTTTCTGTTGGAGAACGTTACTACGATTAAGACGATAATCTACAGATAGAATAAAGTTATAGAATATGTTAGTTTATCGTGTCCAATTCTAAGTTTGCTGAGAATAACTTGCCCTTTTCTATTAAAAACAAGTGATCGTGTCATACGAAGCAAAGCAAATTACAGAGAAGAAAAAGTAAATAATCTTTTCATAAGTCCGCTTGTGTTTCTTCTTCACTGTATAGTACAAAAAATGTGCACTTTTGAAAGTGACCACAACAGTGGCAAATGCTCCTTCTACGGAAAAACCGAGAGTTCCTTTCGTTTATCCAACGGTGCAAAAATCTTACAAGCAACTCTTTGTTCGAGCAAGATCATGTCCCAGAAATATTTGAAATGTTTCTGATTTCGTTGAAGTTATCGCTCGCAGGGAGGACAGTATAGTGTCTTCTTCAATGATTTGTTTAAAGACGCGTAGATGCGGACAGTTCAATTTGTAAGGATGTTTCTTCAAAATATACAGGGTGTTTAAGAAAGGACTGCAAGACTTTAGACGTAAGATGGATTTTTATCATTTGTCAACAATTGTCGTCGTGAGCATGTTTCTTCATTGAACTTAAAGAAAGAAATCTTCATCAAGTCACTTCTTACAATATTTTTATTAGGCAGATTTACGTCAGTCATATATATGCTTGAAATTTCTTTACATCGGGTATATCTTGGTACAGTTCGGATAATAGAATTTTCGGATAACAAAGCGATCACTTGCCTGACGTAAAACTTCAGATTGAGATTAAGTTTAGGTAGCTTTAAAGTAGAATTAAAAGTATTTATAACTATTCGCGACATCCTGTCGCAATAATTTGCTTATTTAAACGATCCTTTCCAATAGATCGAGTTTGTACTTAAACTTAGGCTGCTTGTACTCAAATATTGCATATTGAACGCAAACAGTCAGCGTGTTCGTTGAAATTTGCAGGGCTGTGGAAATACAAGGCGTTAATTAAATAAGATTTGTTAACCGGAGGTTGTTACTTAACTGTCTTTCAGTTGAAGACACTCGGCTCATTACTCAACGCGAACAAATTGCTCGCATCCGCGTAATTTCTTGCGTAATAACAAAGGAAAACAAGAGTCAATGCTCAGGTTTCCTTTTTCATTCTTAGTTACTTCAAACAAAGATTTTCCAGAGAGAAAAACGTTAAGATCGATCTCGGCTGTAGACAAACTATGGAAACAGTTTAGCAATCTTTTCCCAGCCTGGATGACTAGGTTCACAGTCCTCTATCTCTGACTATGTTCACAACTTTGTGCGAAATAATTAGCGAATAAGACAAAAGCAAGATTAGACTTTGTAGTTTAACTTTTTATTATCCATCCTTATATTAAAATGAAATTGTTGAGAATTGTGGATCTTTGAAGCCGAAATAATGTTATAGGAACGCTAAATTTATACTGAGGATTAATATTAAAATAGTAATATATTTATTTCATGGACGATTTCTTATATATTCATCGATACACTTTTGCACGCGTCTCAGCACTTTCTTCTATACTCGACTGTTAACCGACTGAATAGTTTACATTCGTCTGTTTTCGAGACGCCGCGCACACACATAGCTCCACACACTGGTACCCACATACAAGTACCTGTACCAGTGCATTTAACCCAGTCCAGCACAGAAAATTATACATATCTCAACAAAAATAATGAAATTTACTTTTCCGAACGCCGTTTTATCTTCTGTAAAATGTATTCCCCTTTATTCCTTATTGTCCACGCTTTTCGACTTTACATGACTTCCTGTTGTCCGTTACATCTTACACTTGGACTTAACTTGAAACTTTCCTATTCTTCATAAAAACCAGTCTAAACCAAAGTCTTCTAAAAACCAGAGTAAAATCAGTCTTCAAGTGTTTCTAAAATAAAATGCATTTGTAGAGATAGTATTTTAATCAATAATTCTTTGCTTTGTTTTAAAAGCATTTTATTTTAGAAGAACACTACTCAATAGGAATCTCAAAGTTGATTTTACTATTAAACGATAATGAAAACGTTACTAACGTACTATTAGTAGTACGTAGTACTAAGGGTACTAACGTTACCATTCCATATGTCAATCTTTTGATTTTGTCTATTATCGTAGATGCTTCCTACGTACGAACTATATTTACCAACAGGAATGAAATGTAATTTTCAAGGCACGTGCCAGTTAATGATATTCGCTTCTGTTCTATACATGTATCGGTCAATTATATATGTATATATATATATGTACGATTAAGTGCAATAGTATACTTTCCAGTTTTAAATTCGTATCGTACATCGTCCTTGTGATTCGATACGCAGAGAAAGTTGATTGTAAAAACTGATATTTCTAGAAGTGAAAAGACGTGCATTACCCATTCTTTTGCGCTTTTTCGACTAAGAATTAATACGTGTGATTTAAAGAGGGAAATTATTTATTATTAAGTGAAAAGCTTAGATAAGGCGCATAGCGTTATTTGCGTAATAAAAATAATAAAAATTGAACTCTTACAATTAGCATAGTCGAACAGTTTCTAAAGCTTTGCGTTCTGTGCGCACGAACTATGCAAAATAAAATTCTCAAGTCCATTATGGGACTAAATAGCAGGTATCCTACTCTCCTCCTTGGCACGCGGAGGATCGATAATTTTGCCAAGTCAATTATAGCGAATATAGCAGATACAGTAAAATAATATAGCAGTTCCAAATAAAAAAAATTGTTTGATTAGAATACAGGACTTTATCACATTAATCGCGTTTCCTACAGAATTGAAGATCCTTTTCCTTTGAATGTCGGCTGAGGTATGTTCCCGAATATCTTATCTCTTACTCGTGTTATTTACTTATCATTTTTATCTAACGATCCTTTTATTTTTAATTATTCTCAATTTTCATGTTTAGCATAGTTAAACAGTTTCTAAACCTTTGCGTTTTACGCACACTGCTAATCTACCGATGGCGGTCATTTTACGATATTTAGGAATTTCTTGAAACTTTTGGGACTACAATTCCTGAGTATAGATCTTTTATCTTATCTTTTTATTTTTTATAATTTACCTATAATGTGGCCAATTCCAATGATAACACCTCATTTCGTTTCTACGATTTCATTTCTCTGCTTTTGTCTTTTAATCGCATGTTTGTAACAACAACATATATACAGCGTGTTTCGCATAACACGGTCAACCGACTGGGAGACGCTTCTACGTGAAGAAATAAGTCGAAAATGTGAGATAAAATTTTGTTGTCCGAGGCATTGTTCTCGAGAAAATTGATTTCGAAAATTCATCAAGTAAATTTGAATACGGCCAATTCCAGATGACCAAACAACAGTCAATAACCGACAGGAGGTTATTCTACGTGTGAAAATGAATGGAACATGTGCAATAGAATTTTTTTATAAGATGCTTTGTACATGAGAAGGATAAATTTGATAATTCACTGCAGTAGATCAATTTTTAACTAGACTCGCTGAAACTCGATTTCCTCGAAAACGAAGCCATGGACAAAAAAATTCTGCTCTACATTTTCGATTCATTTTCCCACGCAGAATCTCTATCATACTTGATCACCTCGTGTGGGCCACCCTGTATACTGTATAGCTGAAATTACTCTATGCTGTAATCGATATAATTGTTTCTAATTTTTCATAGTATGTATTTAGAAAAATAAAGACCGGTTTATAGGTGTATCATAAGATTATTATCATTACATACTTCGACAAAGAAAAAGGATCTAAGAGAAACTTCCTGCAAATTCACTTTCACGGTAACGATTGTTTGACACTGGTCGTCAGAAGCAAGGTCATTGTTTTTCATGTAATGACTATTCAAACGTAACAACTATTTTATTTGCTCCGAAATAATTCCAGATATGTTTGGCTATATCTTCAATTATGATATTATATATTTATTTTTCTTATTGACATATTATCTGTTTTTGTAAATTTGTTCGTTATGTGTGTCATTTGTATTTGTAAAATATTTTGTCTATAATTAGATTATTTTATTAAGAAGCATTTTATACATTTGACTAATCTAACGATAGAAGTTTTTCATTAGCAAAGTCATTAGACGCGAATGGGAAAGTAAAGAAACTGTAAAAAATAGTAAACTTATAAAATCAAATTAACGAATTCTCTTACAAACAGCCATAAATTCTACTATTTCATATTCAGTAGTTGGTAAATTTTTCGAAGCTTTCGCGCAAAAATATTAGCTATTTTACAACCCAGAAATGGAAGAGGAAATTGATGTTGGATAGCAAATTCAGCGAAACAAATGTGTAACTGAAACGTATTGAGTAGGAAGCATATGAGTCGTTCGTTTGTGAAATTGGTCAGCTCGGCAAAACAAACAGAAGAGAAAATTGAGAACTTATATAAGATAAGCATCAGTCAAGTGCATTGGCACTAAAATTTTAAAAAGCGGACTCAACCTCTTTGTGCACGACCTATATTATGTTTAAGTGACAGTAACGTTCGAGTTACCTTTCAAAGGAAGTAAAAGATCGTGAGATATGTATACCTACGTGGAAACGACTGGATTTGTAGATTGCGTTGCGTTGGAAAGCTTGGATGACTGAAGACTGAATGTTAAGAATGTGAATGCTTGAAGAATTAATAGAGCATACCTAGTACAGGAATGGTGAAGAAAATTTTGACCTGATATTTAGAACCTGAACCTTAGACAGACAAAAAACGCCTGTACAGTTTGTAGCGCGTGTTTTAAAATTATTACAGACAGACTAAATACGGTTCAACAGGAAGATTTATTAAATAGTTTTAAATCAACTTGGTTCGAAAGTCTGGAACATGACCAGATAATTACAATCTTCGTAAAATTCTATTCTCTTTTCAAAAATTATACGCTTTGTGACATCTGCGCGCTATTTTTGATGGAATTTTATCTGGAACAGGCAGGTATAAGATAATCGATGCGAGTATGTTGTAGATTGTTGTTCTAATATATTTATATACAGGGTGGTTGGTAACTGGTGGTACAAGGGGAAAGGGGATGATTCTACGCGAAAAAAGAAGTCGAAAATGTAGAACAAAATTTTTTTTTTTAATTTTCCATCGAGACAACGATCTACAGTGAGATCCGTTATAACGAGACGCGATAAAGTGCACGCGTACCGAGCCAAAATTCAAAGTCGATTTTCTCGAAAACAAAGCCTCGAACGAAAAATTTTCATTCTACATTTTCGACTTCTTTTTTCGCGTAGAATCACCCCCTTTCCGCTTGCACCATCAGTTACCAACCACCCTGTATATATATTGTCTTTTTAGAAATTCAATTCAAGATAGAACTTTCTACCTTGTGTGAAAAAAGATGTAAGATTAATGCTCGTACGAATTTTATTAGAAAATTACTTCATTTATTAAAAATGGTAAAATTCAATCTTCTTTCGTTTGATTGGAGAAAATGTTCAAGGACAATGAATTTCGATTATCGCTTCTTGGATATATTTTCCAATGTATTATTAGGATTACTTTAATCCTACATAATATTATAACAGCAGATGTACGTACGCCGGAAGCAATTTGTTATTCGAAGGAAAAAGCAACGATATCCGGATTGTGAAAGTTTGAAGGATCTCAAGATCGCTGATTGGAAGATATTTTCGATCGTATTTTTTTACTAAAAGTCCATCAGTGTTTCAATTATTCGAAATAATTTGATATTTCTCTTTACTACACATGTATTATGTTTATACTATATTTTATTACATTATGCTATACATATACAATGTATTATATTGAATATTTGTTTCGTAAGCACTAAATAATTGAACGATTACTGTACTACGTACAATTAAGAAAAGTGTTTGTTGATTGTTACATTTTGTTATGAATTCAATTAGCGGAAATTGAACTAAAAATGTACATTTTCTTGTGTCATAAATTACAACGTTGATATAGAATTTATTTAATTTACAGAATAAGTAACGTGCAAGTTCATCATAAATAATTGAAATATTTTTGCACCGTTAAATTGTTCCGGACTTTCTGTTGAAATATTTTAATATATCAATATTATAATAACGTACATTATATTGATTTATAAATTTATCATCGTATGCATGATACAACGAGAATATCTTTAATATTATATTTTTAGATCGATCGATGATATGCACAGAATATAAAGCACAAAAAAATAATTCGTAGAGTCGAAACAAAACACTGGGATGCTCGGCTTGTTAATATTTTAATTAGACTAGAGTTTTTGATTAAATTAACAATGATGAAAGGTTTTATTAAAGACGTCGAAAGTGAATCTCGTGGGAAAAGTTTCTCAAGACCGCGTAACTTTCTCTGCGTTAGACTGCTTTCCCAACTCCTTTCCGCCTTCAGACTATACATTCTCAGTCAAGCGGAACGACATAAAAGTCACCTGCGAATTCGTCTTCCGCAATTCTATTGAATCGCATTACAAGTAGGTCAAATAATATTTACCTACTTTGTATATAACTTTACAAAATATTATGTTTAATAGCTTATCATTATTATCTAATAATTCTTTAGTACCTTATTCTCAACGTGTCCTTGTTGCGTTATTATTATATTGACCTTTTTGGGATGTAAATAGATAGCCTTAGAGGACAAATGTATGTTATTGTTTATTGTATATCGTAAAAGTCTTGCGATCATCTTTGACAATGTAGTTATCGTTGTAGGCAAAAGTTGAGAAGCTTTTTAAAAGTAGCATTGTATCTATTTTTGAGGAAAGAAAGACATGAAAAATTAGAAAGTTCTAAGGTTTTAAAGAAAAATTTATTTTTCTCGGCAGATAAATTGGGTCTATATCGTTTGGGAGAATATTATAAACAAATAATCAAAAGAAGATTTGATTTTATTGTTGTTACACGAAAATCCCCTTTTAATTAAATTAATGTATTTTTATTTACGCAGTTACACTAAATCTCTGTTATGTGCCACAAGGAAATTATAATTATACATTATAATTAAGGTACTGAATTCAAATGTTCGAGCTTCTACAATCGAACATTTACGAATACAAAATATATATTAGAAAGTAAAGGTGGAATTACGCTGGCAGAAAATCAAGTCATTTCCATTAATTTACATATTACAATTTTTTAGCAATAAACGTTCTTGTCCCACTGTTCGTTCTTCGTTATTTAATGTGGCAAAGGCAAATAATTTGAAGCAATATTTGTTGAACCAAGGCGTAAATGAGGTCACGGAAAGGCGCACATAGTAAACGAACTTTCAATATCGATTTCTTCTAAAACGCAGTTTTCTGAGGGAAAAGAATATTATCGTATACCGCTGTCCTACTTTTCCAATCAAAACCACATTATTTCGGACTATAATACTAATTCAATGCTTCCACTTATCCACAACACCGTGTGAAAATCTTAGATCGCGTTATTACCTATAATTATACAGGGTAGTTAGTAACTGGTGACACAAGCGAAAAGGGGGTGATTCTACGCGAAAAAAGAAGTCGAAAATGTAGAATAAAAACTTTTCGTTCGAGGCTTTGTTTTCGAGAAAATCGACTTTGAATTTTGGCTCGGTACGCGTGCACTCTCGTTATAATGGATCTCACTGTAGATCGTTGTCTCGATGGAAAAATGAAAAAAAAAATGTTTATTCTATACTTTCGACTTCTTTTTTCGCGTACCACCAGTTACCAACCACCCTGTATAATACTGCATATTTTATTTTTCCCAATGCTTGTTCGTTGTTCTACCTCGTTCACGGATTTGTGCATTCTATGATAAATACAGCTGTGACCTAAATGTTAGAACCTAGTGCACCACAAGTCTATATATAGATATAAGAAAAGTATCGAGAAAAAGAATGAAAGTTAGAAGAGAAGTCAGCTTTTTAATTTGTTGAGAATAAAGTAGTACAAAATATAAAACGAGTTTGATAATTTCTTCAAAATAACCTATCGAGATATTAAAATAAGACCGTACGAGACATCGACTATTCCAAATTGATCTCAATATCTGTCTTAAAAATTCTTTTTACTTAAAATATTTTTTGCTTAAAATATGATATATTTTACTTAAAATATTAGATGTACAAGCGAATAACTCGCATTCTTCGGAATTTATTTAATGAAAAATACAGTAAGTTATTCGGTCGAAATGTTCGCCCTGCTTTTCTAAAACGTTTATCAAGCAAGTAATAAATTCCATCGTGGAAAAATACTGTGTTCTTAGACAAGATCCACTCGTCGAGTCATTTTTCTACCTCGCTCGCTAATTAGAAATGGGTATAGGATAAGGCGTGTTACAAGTGTTGCATCGATCGGAACAGGTAGTAATCCACCGTAGTAATGTCTAGAGTAAGTTACCTGCTGCAAGACGTCCCACACAGGACTCATTATGATGTCTTTTGTCACAGAAGCAGTGCGTGGTCTAACGTTGTCACGCGGCAATTTCACAGAACGTTCTCATTTGTCAGTGTCCTGACGATTGGATCTTGTCCAAAGTCACGCCATTTGTCCGTGATGGAATTCGTCGCTCGCCTAAATCACCTGAAACTTAAAAATTGTAGACTTAAAATCATAGAAATCAACGACAAATACTTTGATCGATCAGCTTAATTTCTTAAAACAAATCTAGGAAGTTATTGAAGAAACAACGATTAGATCGTTGGTAGGAGATAAAAGCATGTAGCGTTATGTTAATTAATTAAACAATAAAGTAACAAAACAGTTTCTTTTGGTCGAATGTATGGTCCAAGAATTTTGTACAGTACTGTACCTGCTAAAACGACATTCTTATTTCGTTATTTAGAAACTGCAATTCATTGCTTTTTGATAGGTCTTTTAACGGTTTCCGGGGCCGAGGAGGCGATTTCAAACACAGCTGAAAAAGCGAAAACCTCCTCTGACAATGCAGGCGACATTGTCATGTTGGAAATCGATGTCAAGGAGCCTGTGAAGAGATCGCCGATTACAGCCACTGCCGAATATGGTGCTCCAGCCAATCAGTACATTCTTCAATCAGCCGATGATACGCAAGAGGTAACGATTGACCATTTCATAATTCATACTTTAAGTAGTGTTTCGCGAAGTATTGCGAATAGTTCCAATGTTTCATGCCTACTTATCTAATTATGTCAGATACATCGATGCATAGTACGCCAGTTAAGGACACTGGTCAAGTGTTACGCGAAAGATTATCCTTGATATTTTGCTAACTCTTTTTACGGACAAGCGTCAAAATATAGCGAGTGTTTCGTCCAAGATCTGCTAGTATGGACTCTTCGGTAAGGCTCTCACCTAACAGACTTATACCTCAGACACAATGAGAGAAGATAGAAGACAAGCGTCGAAATATATTAAGAAGAAGTAGAAAGGAAATGGAAGCACCTATAGCGTGCGAATGTTGAAATATAGTAAACCCATTCAAGAATTTCACCTCGTGAACAATCACATTAAATAATACCGACGTGTCTGTCTTTGTTATCCTAAAAGAATAAATGTTCCTGGAAACGGGCAACATCATTGCTCTCGGTCAACCGTGACTATTGGCCGCCAATCACCGACGAACGTGGTGAGCGGCTACACAGTGCATAGGCACGGACAGTACACATTTTTCTTTTCCATTAGAACGGTGGGTCCGCCTTCACGAACTAGATATATTGTGTTGCAACCAACAATTGCGATCGATCTAATTCCATTAATGTCGTCACTAGCGACTGTCCTTTTCGTCTTTTGTTGAATCAGCCGCGTATCCTAGACGCGTAGAATCATCCACTTCTTAGAAAGATCATTACAGATATGGTAACTTTATGTATAACTTTTGCAACCATATGTTTCCACGGACTCGTAAATCCGTGTAGCCATTAATCGAGGACTATTGCCAAGGTTTTCTACATTGTGGTACGTTTCTAAGTTAATTAAATGAAATCGATTCTGACGTAACGTTAATGTATCACGTATACTTCGATTCACTACGTAGTTAAATAAATTACACGTAAAGTATATACTTCATAGTTGCTAATTCTACTCATCTTCTCGATAGGGACGATATCAAGTGCTAACTGGAACGTTAAGCAGGTATCGCGCAAGTAGGGAAATTTCCAAATATTTGATATGAAAGAATAAGCGAAAAGTATAATCACGGATGCACCAGAATGATTCACAGTACATTTTCTTAATGGAAAGATAAAAGAGAAGCACGAGGAAGTGGGAACGAAGAAAATGAATCATCGACGTATAACGTCTTAGTTGAGAAGGGAATTTTAAATCTCCTCGACACCTACACTCGCTCGCGATCGTTTCGTCGTGCTAAACGCGATCATGCTCTCTTGCATAACTTTTACCTTCTAATCGGTCCGACCAGACAAAACCGGTAATACCACACCCAACGATCGAGAGTATATCCGTCTATAAGTCTTGCAGCCGGTAGACACGCTCTATGTACGTTGCATGGCCTTGTATGCCATTGCCGCTATAAGTTACGTTGAATGAATCTTCACGCTCCTACGGGTTATCGACTCATCTACGATCGTCATCTGTTTCATTCATAGAAATATTTTCAGCGATATGTCAGTGTCGATTTTCAATTTAAAACGAGATTCATTGATTATGGTACTTGCTTGCGAATACATAGAGATCATCTGTTTATCAAATCTTTTTTGTAACTGTTATCCTAACTTTTTTAACAGATTATACATAGATTGTAAATATTATAAAATTATTCTGTTGCTTGACAAACTCGTTATCTTCAGATTTTTTAATTCTTTAAATTAGGTATCAGATTGAGTAGTAGTCAGTGATGTTTAAGTAGCAAATATAATAGTTTTTATGCATCTTTACTTTGACAGAATTCATATACTGTTACTACAAATCGGTCAAGGTATCCTGATATTTAAAATTTTCAAGTTATTCATATGATGCTATCTCTTTTGTTGTTCTTATTTTAATTAATTAATTTTATTTTCGTACCAAAAATTGAATGACTCGGTAAATACCCATGATCGTTTGATTCGTTTAACCCGGAATATGATTTTTTAATTGTTAGATAATTATAATTATAAAGTAGCATTTTAATGTAGAAGATATACGTATTTTGTTTTTATAAAGCATTTTAAATTTCAATAAAGTGCAATTGAACTATCGAATCTTCTATTAACGACGATTACATGAGAAAATGTGTGAATTTTTAGCTACCACCGGAGTATTTATCTGTACTACAACAATACGCGCAGGAAGGGCCGCAACACCAAGCGCCACCACCTCCACGGAGAGTGCAGCCAGCATACGCGAAACAACAGCAAGCATTGCAACAAGCTTATTACAACTACCGAAAGCCAACGGTAGTGCCGCCTCGTCCTCGTCCTCAACTTCACCCTCAGGCTCTGGCTCAAGCCGAATTAACTGCTGACATCCAAGCTCAAGTCGAAGCTCAAACTCGCACAGACGCCATTCGCACGGCCCGTTTGGGATCGAAAGCTTCCGAGGTTCCGGTATATCAAACATCCTATGCCCAACCAAAATTGGGAACGTTCGAGCAAGAATTACTGCAACTAGTCTCGGCTAATCAAGCCCAAGAATTTAAACTTCTTCCGACGCAACCTAAAGGAAGCACATCCGCATATTCCCAGCAATTAGTAAGCTATCCGGCTCAGTACGCGAAACCAAACGTGGCAGCACCTCAATTGCCCGAGCAGTACCATATTGAAACTTCTCCACCGCGTTATCATCAACCACGGCCACAACCACAACCACAACCACAGCCACAACCGGCACCTGCTTATCAATCGGTCGAAGAGCCTGTTCATTATCAAGCAGCTCAGCCTGCCGAAGCTTACAATCAGTCGCCACAATACGATTATATCGATGACGATTCATATCGGAAAGCCCTTGAACAGGCCCAAGCTCAGGCTCAAGCTCAGGCGGAGGCACAAGCGTTGTCTTTCCAGAAAATCGCGCAGGCTGCTTACAAAAAGCATCACCAAGATGCGTTGGCGCATATGAGGCTCACGAACGAACGTTACAGGCAACAGTCTGCTCTAGAACAGATCCAACAAGGTGCCCAAGTGAGCGATGCTGGACGTAGTCACTTGCAAGAACAATTGCATCCAAAAGGTGCAGAGGCTGCTTATAGGGCGAAGTTGAAAGCGCAGATAGCCGCGGAGGCAGCCGAGGCAAGGAAATTGCAGCAAGCGCAGGAATTTAAGGCACACGCTGACGCTATTCGCAAACTCGAAGCTCAGCAGCAAGCTCATCTGAAGGTGCAGGAAGAGGTTCATAATTATGCTCTGAATTTCGAGAAGAATCAAGCGCGCGCTCAGGCTATAGCGCAAGCCCAAGCTGAAGCTCTTTACAAGTCCCAGCTTCAAGCTCGGAATCAGGTTAAAGGCGAAATTTTGGCGATCTCCAAGGGCCAAGTGCAAGGAAAGAAAGTTGATCCAGACTCATCCGTGTATCATTATACTCTTTCAACCACTACCGCCCTTCCTTTCCTTCACAATAGTTATTTCACCAATGATCAATTGCAAAAATACCAAACATCTGGTTCTTCTTACGTTCCTAGATCAGTTCCAAAATCCGATGACGCGAGTCCCGTTATAGAAGCAGCGTCAGCCCACGTACAACCTGTTATTACGCAACCACGGCAAACCCATAAGTTGAAGCTCCCTTCGTCTTCTCAGTCGGTTTACGTATCCGAATCGGGTTTGCTAAAAAAGTCACCAATTAAGTCGGTAACCATCGAAGAAGTAACCGCCCAGCCGGATCAAATCGGTGCTCAACCGTCACCCGCAGCCAAGGCACACGCTTTGACGGAAGAAGACTTGTCAGCATTGATTAACGCAGGATACACTGTTACTCCTGTGACGCAAACTGCCAAAACTATTCAACAAATTTACGCAACCGACAATACATCTGCGGGTAATAACCCGTATTATACGAAGAAACAAAAAGCTCCTCTTACAAGGTCTGAATACATCACCTACGAAGAGGTGATTCAACGTCCACGCAAGCTCGTTAGAAAAAATAGGCCGATTCTGAAGCATAGTGAGAAGGAAGGTGATTTAGGCGAGAAAGTTACTTACTTGGTACCTCTCGAACCGGCTTTCGGCACGAGACAACCTGCGCTCAAACACGAAGAATAATTTCGTTGAAACGTGGCTTTTCCTTGTCGTTGCGTTGTAAGTCCAGGATAATGCGGCATGTAGTTTAAATACTGTTCTTACAGTTTATCTTTCGTCTTTGATTTTATAACGTAGTAAAAGTTATAAACTTGAGTCGTAATTGGATAGTACTGAAATTATTCATCGAATTTACTTTTATCAAGAAACAATACTTTCTTTTATAGGACATATTAATATGTAAGCTTTTAAGTTATGTATGCATTTGCTAAAACACAACTAGGTCTTGATACTTAAAGCAACGTTAATGTCACCTACTGACAAAAGCGAGGAAACTTTTTCGCCAACCCAATGAAATATATTAACCGATGAACAGTTCGAAGTAAGAACTGTAAAATTAAATTTAAAACCTAGCGATAATTTCATTTCTAGATGCAGCGTGAACGGTTCTTCGTGTTTCTCAATCTACATTCTGTTTTCGGTGTCTTTTCCAGTCTTATGCATATGCAATTGCTTCGAGCATGATTAAAACGAATGAAATGTATCTTGAATTTTTCCTAACACATCATTCACAGTTTAAAATTCGTTAACAATCAAGTTGAACTCTTGAAATGTAAATTTTATACGTAGCGTTGATCAAGACGAACGGTCAAATTGTATCAAAGCTCTCGAAAAGTAAATACACACACACATACACATATATATATCGTTGATACATTTTTATGGCGCAAACGAGTACATCCTAGAATACCCTTGTACGCGATGTCATTTGCAGGCGGTATGTGCGACGGTGCTGAGTCGAATCATTTTAATTTATACTTATTATACTTGTATATATTAGATTTTTACTGAATAAAATAATTCAGAAATTTTGCTCTGCCATGTATGACATATCTTCTATCCTTCTATTACCCTGTTGTTATTACATCAAATGTTCCTATTCTTCCTATAATAATCATTTTTAAGCAGAAAATTGATAAGTACTGAAATTATTTATACATTAAAAGATTTAAAGATAAAATCATTGTGAAATTAGTTTTCAAGCTGTAGATATTGATATCTTCGTCATTTGTAGAGATGAACACTCGTAGGAAACACTTTGAAGGAAGTGCATCTTCTCTTCTTCTTCGTAATATTTATTTCCTCTCCATTCATTACAACATACGAAATTTGTTATAATTTTTAATTTCTTTCCTCCACTTGTAATCAGCTGCTGATTTTCATTTCTCTATCTTACGCTTCTTTTCCCTTACTAAAAAATCAGGGTAGTTTCATTTAACAAATGTACAGCATGTAACATTAGGAGTTGAATTGGTTTAATCTGAAGCCTTGAGTATCCATTTAAACGTCATCTAGAAGATATTTATTACGGATCACGTAGGATTAGATTGCTCGAATATTTTTATGAATATATTACGTACATTATACGAACGACTATCGTGATTATCATAGAAAACTTGGGACCAATCCGTAAATGTATGTAGAAGTTACGAGACATTTGTTGCGAATACACGCTTAATGAAAAATTAGTATACAGCATGGATAGCAGTCTTAAACGTACAGTTAATGTTCAAGATGGTTCGACTATAAATTGTAGCTTATTACTGATCGTTTTTGACAATCTTCGCAAAGTATCTTCTTTCAATAAATATTTGCAACTAGCATATACATTTTCAGAGCCATTCCAAATTTTACTAATACAAATTTACTAAAAATTAAAAAATTAAAAAAAAATTTTTTTTTTTAATTTTTCCATCGAGACAACGATCTACAGTGAGATCCGTTATAACGAGACGCGATAAAGTGCACGCGTACCGAGCCAAAATTCAAAGTCGATTTTCTCGAAAACAAAGCCTCGAACGAAAAATTGTTATTCTATATTTCGAACTTATTTTTTCGCATAGAATCACCTTTCCGCTTGTACCACCAGTTACCAACCATCCTGTATAACTTGATAGTCGTGTTTTGCTACAGTGCCGCTGAAGTTTCAAAATATTTTGTATCGTACATAGAAAACATTTAGAAACGTTCGAATACTTTCATAAAACACTATACATGTGCTTTTATACTGGTCATATTGAAACGTTTGACAATTGTTTCTTGGTCTCTTGTTTGATTTGGCTAACGTTATTCATACTTCATTCAAGATGGAAAGTCAAAATAGAACAGCACAGTGGATTTGTGAAAGTGTACATAAAACGGCATTTCGTATAGCAATTAAACGCTATGTGTACATGTAAAATCAGAATAGTCCTTGCTCGAGTTATGTGCTGCAGGACTTTCTCTCTCTACCTGTGACATAATCTTTTGAGCAGTTGGAGAGTCGGAACTGAACCGCACATTGAAAACTGGAGTAGTTTCGTTTATTATTACGTACAGTACAGACATGTCAAGAATCTGTTGCAACTTTACTACACTGCTGTTGGCCATTCTTTTGGTAACAACGTACACCACTTCTCTACAGGTAAAAATTATTCTTTTATCTCTTACTTGTTTACACTACTAGCGAATTGAGATGTTTTTAGTCAAATTATTCGATACAGATTCGAACGATTATTTTTTTGTTTGACACAGATGTACGTAGCATTAAGAAATAACTATATAGATTTTCAATTGTACATAAAAAGTGGTGCATTATAGTATTTATGTGTTAAAGCGATAATATCTGTTTAAAAGCATAGCAAGTTAATTTACTTAGTAACTTTTATCAGTGGAAAATTTAAATCTTATACAAAAATATTCGTATTTGTCTATTTTTCGTATATCGTATAAAGTAAGTGAACCAAATTTGGTAAACCAAATTTAAAAGTAAAAAGTTGTGAATAAAGATATAGTTGTATGTTTCGGCCATTATCGAAAAATGCATAAAGCAATCAGTGATTCGTTTTCGATTAATTTTATGACGGCAAACAAGTCCTGAATTCGTGTACAAACGTTTAGCACGTAACGTAACTACATTTTATCGAAGAAATTTAATTTATTTTAATTCTATTTACTAATTGTGCCAAAACATTACCATGTGTTTTATTAAATAGAAAAAAGATATTCTACATATTTATAAAAATATCATTACAATATACATATATTAAATGATTTTTTAATACATAGTTTTATCGATATCATGTCGTATATATTATTGTATATTTTTATTACATAAATGTGGAAGAAGCGAGCACGACGAATTATTTTTATAACAATTCTGTTATATCTGTTTAGCATCGGATAGTGGTTGAAGATCTCGATTACAATCATTATAATGAACACCAAAATTTCCAACCAACGGTAAAGTTTGACAGACCAATTGTCGTGAAGGCTTTTGAAAAGCCAAAGAACCAACAAGATTTTAGCAAAATTCCTGGTATTCCGGGCGTAGACTTTCCTTTGTACCATACCGTACCTCAGACAAGTTTTTCCTGCGCACACGTTCCATTCGTACCAGGAATGTACGCGAACGTGGAAACCGGTTGTCAGGTAATTTATTTAATTTCATCAATCGTTTTACAATTGATCATTGAAATATTTATATACACACATATATGTATAACACATTATGTATACTGTAATATCGTAAATACAATAATTAGTTTATTAATAATAAATGGATTAAACAGAAAACAATGGTTATTTAACATGAACTAATCGTAACAACGTATTATAATTAATTAACAACTCTCGTCAACGTAGATTCAACTCTCTCTCAACAACGCTAACAACACTATCTCAACAACGCAATCCGCACTCTCATTTAAGTCCCATCATGCACATGCTCAGCAACCGTTTGTTTGTAATTCGCGCGACTCCCCTCCAGGCCCCTCGTTCACGATACTACGATACAGTGCCCGCGCAACGCGAGGGTCAGTAGGTTTTCCAAAACAAAGCCAGGCTCACCTTGGGTAACATAAGTAGGACCATATATTGTCTTTTTTCGTTAGATCGTAGACGGCTATGAAAACAGAGCATTTTCGGATCTTTTCTCATCGTCGAACGTATACTCGACACGCTTAAAGTACAAAACATTTCTTGTCACATGCCGGCAGATAGCAGAAAAGTGACTCGCGTTACGTAACACACTCTGTATACTGTGTATATATGTATAGTGACTTTAAGTAAGACAGAGGAATTACTGTTGCAAAAAGCATATCTAAGGAATAAAGTAACTTTCTTTGGCGAAGAGATCGTAGAAGAGATGGTTTTATCGATATTTTAGCCAAATTTGATATAGTTGTAAGCCGTGGTACTGTGATCAATGAACCGCGGATATTTATGCAATTTCACATTTTTACCAACTTACTAACAAAGTGGAATTCAAATACACATTTATTTCACACACTAATATTATGACAAATATTTTACGTTCAATATATTTTTTACACTTTTTGCGCTCTTATGTTTCGCCCAAGTGCACATAAACGATCAGTCGTACAAAGTATAAATCTTGCGAATAATAAAATCGATTCGAATCAGTTAAAGAATTTAAAATGACCTACTATCCACATATACATACGTACATACATATGAATAGGTTTTTTCAGTATATCATAATTGATAATATAAAAGGTTTTATACGTACGAACGTTTTCAATGAATAAAAAAGTGATTTGTATAATATATTAAGCTGAATTGGATAATTGTGCAGTGTGTCTCAAGAGTTTTTATGTGTAAAATTGATGATTAAAGTCATCTAACAAATTGTTCAATTATCTATTTGTTCTTTTTTCTTTGTACTTCTTATTCGCTAATGTATCTTGTTAAAAGTCACTTTTGACCGCAATATGTAGTTCCTGCAACAGTTACCCTCAAGGCAATTCTATCGTTTATATCTAGCTATGCATTCACTTTTTAGCCTTGCCTTATATGTAATCAACTAAAATTTCTTTCTTGTGCAAGAAAGAAACATGTCTTTTAGTTTAGCCCTAAAAACGGAACGAATATTGTAATATCTCCGTTGAACCCAATATTTTATTTTATCTCGATCGTACGTGACATTATCCTTTTGTTCGTTCAAACTGAAGTTACTATTACCAGTGCGTATGTTAAAAAATGCATGAAATATTAGTAGATATCAGAAAGGAAATATAATTGGATAGTTAGATTTAAAAAAAGAATTATGAAATTTTACGTGTAAAACTCTTAGGCATATCTTGCCTGTGGTAGAACTTCGCTTATTCCAACTAATAGGTTATAATATTTTATCTTTGTAACATGATAACTCAAATGATACGTTTGTATTATATACTACACTATAATACGAGAAACGCTAAGAAACTTTATTTACGTTTTAGGCATATCACATTTGTCACGATGGTCGCGAAGGTCATCAAGGTGCATCTTTCCTCTGTACTAATGGAACTCTTTTCAATCAACGGGAGTTTGCTTGTGATTGGTGGTATAACGTGAATTGTGCTGATGCGCCAGCTTTGTATAGGTATAATCTTATATTTATTCTAATAAATATATATGTGACGGTAAACATTATAGATATCTACATTAATGTGAAACGAGCAGAGATCGAAATATTGACCATTCTTGAGCATTCAGCGAAGGAAAATGCAGCTTAAAGCGAGGCTTAGTCAAACTGACTGACTGCTTATAATTTATTCTGATTTGAAAAAGTATGAAAAGTATAATGCCGTATTCTTCGGAGGATTGTCATTTTCACTTCTTTCGTATCTTCGATGCGTTATCTTTGTAAAAAAGAGTAAGTCGAAGCATCCTCTGTTTCTGTCCTCTGAAACGGAATTGATGTTAACTGGAATTCCGCGAAATTTTGTATTTTCCAAAAATCTATGATCCTGACAAATGCCAATCAACGCCAAATAAATCGTAGGAATCTCTCGTCGTACCAAAAATGCGGAAAAAATGTCGAAATTAAATGTTTCACAGTCTCGATGTTTAATAATTCATTTTATCATTTTGTCAATAATTCTTATATAATATTACATTTATTGTTTGCAATATTTTAATTTTTATTATTCACATATTTCATTTTATTTGTTTTAGATTAAATTTAGACCCTTTGAAGAACCCTTATATACCGGAAGAAAGAAAGGAGATAATTCGGAAGCAGAATATGAGAATCGTCGTGTATTAAAATTTCTAATCTATATTCTAAATATAATTTAAAGCGTGCCAGTTGTACAAAGAATTACTAAATCTCTGCTGCATGATTTACAGCTTTCAGTAGAAAAATGTTTCTCATAAATGTAATTAGTATGGCTATGCAACGTTTTCTTGTATTTTACTATACAGATTTTTCTAATGCAAACGAGAAAACGGTGAAGTACGAGACATCTTCCAAAATTTGTCACGAATAATTATCGCTTTAGGTCCTTTACGAGTAATTATCGGTTTAGTGTTCTTTGTTACACCATACATACGTTTCCAAGATTTTTAGTAGACTGTAAATTATTTTCCTATAATTATGTGAAACGCGTAAAATTTTTTAAAAGATACACTTTCCTATCTTTAATATTACAATTGTTTTTATTTCACTCTCGGTTAACGTTTCGCCACATTCGATATTAAAGTTTTCGAAAAATAATACAAAATATAAACGAAAAGACAAGTACAGAATATGATACGAATGACTGCTCTGAGCAGTACGATGATTCAGCTTGAATTGATCTTGCTGTGTTCTAAACTATACATATCTTTTTGCGCATCTTACACTATTATTTTCATATCGTGATATCGTAGGTTGCAGATCATTAAACTCGTTTTGACGTCGATCAGGACACTGTATTTTAAAAGAGTGAATGGTAATATACATGTAAAGAATTGTCGGTAACATCGAGAAGACTTTGAAGATGATTTTAAAAGAACTTTTCGTTTACCGTAACATGTACATTCTTAAACTGTTCTTATATTTCCTCATTCTATGTAACAGTGAACATAATTTGGACGTTCGTAATAGAGATGGTATATCTACATTTTCTTCATCGTATTAGTTTCGCATATTAATCATAACCGGACTGCGGATATTTATGCAAATATATATTTTTATGAAAGCCGTTAAAGAAATGGGACCTGGAAAGCCGAAATTTGTTTCAGCTACTAGGTATTATAGTAAGTGCTATATTTTGGACGTTTCACATATTTTTGCGTATTACGCGCATTCTGTGCATTCCGGCGCCTCTTAAATTTCTCATAAATGCGTAAAAATCCACAGTCTAATTATAACGATTTATAATGGATATCTAAGTTATCATTACTTTTAATTCATTTATATCTATATTACTATTCTAATATTATTGAAATTTCGATAGAATTAAATGAATTATTTACACTCTACTGTATTCCACCATTCACAACGTTTCTTTACGTTACTAAATGCTGTTCCCGATGGACAAAGCGAGGAAGTTTTCGACCAACCAGAGCAGTTGTGGAAAACCTAGAAGCAAAGAATCATCAGAATAATGTACCGTAATCCGAGTAATGAAAAGATACATACGAGTACCAGATGACACTTTATAAAGAAATAAGGGACAGATATAGAACAACATTTTCTTTTCTGAAGCTTATTTTTGAGAGAAAATCGAGTTTAAAAGGAGAATGTAAAAAAATTGTCATTTTCGGAACCGCCTGTGAACGAAATATTCTTGCAGGACATTTAAGAGCATCTCACAAGGAATAAAAAATGTTTTTTAATAAAGATTAAATGTAACGAAAGGATAAATGTCCAAATTAATTTTGCAAGAAAATGTATTATCTTCTTATGCTTTCATAACAGCGAAATCTATTGACCCCTTCCCGTACCATTTAGTTCGACGAAACTCGGGCCCAAGCGGTAGACATCGTCGCGTGCTAAACAGACCAGACTGATGTTTGTAAACAGAAACCAACATTCAGTGACGATCGTAACGGGCAAAAAAACAGCCCGCGAGCTCGGCTTGTTATGTTTACGTTTGGCCCAAGTATCTGGTCGCGAGTCAGACTGGCGATATTCATGTTTGGGCCAAAAATTTCATCGCGAATCTGACTCGATAAAGTACGGGAAGGGGTTAAACCTTAACCTGGAAAGGAAATTTTCGAAACGAAAAGCGTAATGAGCTATGTACTCACTTGACACTTAGTTTCAACATCGGCAAACATGCCTCTCCTACCACTGCACGTGAAACCAGTTTCTGGAATTTTGGTAAGATTCGTGTAGCGAGAAACTGTATCGTCAGTGTTCAGTTTGACATTTTGGTACGATGTCGCTTTCGGATTTATTTCGATGTTTTGCAATTGCTGCTTTCGAATACGAGGAGAAAAGTTTTGGTTTCTATTTGCAGGATGAGATCCGGCGTGTCTCGAAGATCGCTCATGAAACTTATTCAAAAATCCCTGATAATCAGCAATGATCTGAAAATAAAGAGACCGTTCTTTGTTTTTGAACATTTTTGCAATTGAAACGTTGTCTGATATCCATCTGGGAAGAAATTACGAGTTTATGAATATGAGATATGACATACACTTTGAACAGTTTCTTTAGTCAACAATCGTTGCGTTGAGTCGAGCCCTATAAGTGAGCTATCAAAACTTGTCACATAAGAAGACTTGTGTTGCTATTGAGTTTTTACGTTTGCTCCTATTGTCTTGGTTTCAAAAAGAGTGTCGCATCTTATACTGTCACGATATTGCTGTGAAGATAAGGAGGGCTTCTTTCTTCTCTTTTATCGTTAATAACGTGCTATTTCAATTTATAACCTTATCGATGAAATAATACTCGTATCTACTGTTAAAATTATTTTAAACAATAACGACATAACGTTAAATAAATCTTGATCATTGAGAGTCATAGCTCAGAATGGAGGTAGCTTTAAGGATACATGTGAATTTATTGAACTGAACAAGTGAACTTTCAATGTGACGTTTTGACAAAATTATGACAATTCTAAACGTTCAAACTCGTTTTCCCTAAAATCATGATTTTTTAATTTACCTCGTTCTTGAGCTAAACGAGCAATACGTTGATATAATGTTTCTTAGTCCTTTTAATGTGTGCATTCATCTCGTGATATATGAACATGCGTTTATTAGCCACCCCGTACGTTTAACTCTATTACGAGTAGAAGAGGAAATTACGTAAGAGAGAGCGTTTTAGACATATCGATATATACAACGCGAGTGAGAGTAAGGTGACTTAACTGCTGTTACTGTGAAAGATGCTCATGAGATTCTTGCTTGAAATCTGTTAAGAAAGGAAGAGATGTAATAGTATGTTATTGGTGCTTCGCTCGTAATTTGCATACCGCGAGTGCAGGTGAGCGTGCATCAGCGAATGTACCTCCCGACTACAGTTTCATTCGCGTTTCAAATCCAAGATAACTAGATGATCTATCTTCTCGTAGCAGGTAATCCTAGAAAATTGTGGTTGGTTTCAACGAAGTAGGCAAACTAGAATCTCATGTGTCGATATGCGTTCTTCTTTCACAGATTGTGGTTTTGCACTCGAGTTGGTCAAAAAAGATATATCACACACGCACACATATACGTCTTATACAGCCTATAGGTGACCATTATGAATTTTACGATCTCTCATTTTATTCCATGTTAGAACGCATAAACGCTGACTAATTTCAATTTGCCATTTTTAATATGAATTCAATCGTTTATCGAATTATGCAGGGAAATCATGTAAGCATTTAAAAGTTTGGGCTTTTTGAAAACCTGTACAATTAATTTTACGATCACCTTTACCTCTTTTCTTTACGTAATATGTTGGATATTTTAACGTATCGTCGAAATATTGGTATTACGGTAGAACTGGATTTATATGAACCGTGTCTATCTGAACGAAATTTTAGTCAATAACCGATCGAGGGACGATTCGCATAACAGAAGCTCGTCTATTGTCCCCACTATCTATTACTTTTCGTTCACACAATAGGAGTTCACGTTCAGATAAATGATTTGAACCAGCAAAAGTTTAGTTTAGCACCGATGAAAATCGCTTACACGTATGCCAATGAGAATATCCACAGTAGGTTCAGTCAAGTGAAGTGAAAATCTCTTAACCCGTACCTGACTTGACGTGATCTGACTAAACTATTGCTAGTTGAATTCATTTATCTGAACGCGAGCTCCTATTATGCGAACAATAACAGATACTTAGTGGGGACAATCGCTGAGCTCCTATTAATAAACTATTTGTTCCCCGACAAATCCAGGCAAACGAAGTTCCATCGTAATTTCTCTCCTGGTATTAATTATACAAAATAAATCTCTTTCGCAGTACGAACTACCTCTAACAATTGGTAGATGGCAGAACATACACAAATGTCTAAATTTTAATAGATGTCTTCTATTTTCGTCGAATAGTAATTATGCACAAAAGAGGGCCTCAACTCCGATTTTGTTAAATTTGGAATACGTTGTAAAGGAGAGGGTTCCGAGTAACATGCATTTTGTCCGAGATGCAGGGTGATCATGATTAAAAAATTATGACACATTACAGGAAAAAAATGATACTTGTTAGATCACATTTAGTTTAATATAAACTGTTAAAAATGAAATTGCATACGCATTTGCACAGGATTGCGATAGTAATAGTGTAAGATACGGTTAAGTTAATCCAAATTAGATTCCATGGGTGGCTGGAAATTGAGATCTCTTTTTCTGCATAATTACCGTAGAATAAGCAATATAATATTTCAATCGTGCTCGCTTATACGAAGCAACATGTACAGAGATTGCGCTGTGTTGGAATAATGGTATGACCAACTATACGTAGAAGTAGACGCATAGAATATATACCTGGTGAGAGTTGAAAAGCGCTATGTTGTTGAGAATATAATCGTCGAATGGTTGGTAAATAGAATCCCACTCGTAGCGAATATTCCAAGTTGGTGCAAAAGTTTCTTCTAATAAATTGGCATCAGCAGGAAGTACCAAAGGTGTTACGATAGGTTTATAAATTCCAGGTTTCAATGGTGGTACTATAGGTACAAATTGTCTGAAGCTCGTATAAGTTTGTGATTTAGAAAAATCCCGATGCTTGTTAAAGCGATTGTTCGTGTACTCGTGACCATTAAATCGCGAGTATGGCGTACGAATAACGTAAGTTGTGTCAATCGCTTTCGCACGGTTGTAATGAAATCTGCCTTCGGGTGGAACGTATCGTCCATCCGGTGTCAGGTACACCTGCAAAGACAGAACGATGCTCTTCAATTAATTTCCATTTAATTAGCGAGGTGAATATTAAACGTGTTGGTTGGTTTATTAAAGAGACGAGTGATAAAATTGTAATAGTCAATTACATTAATCACTTTAAGCACAAGTACAGAGATAACGTATGCCGGTCGTAATCGTCGCTCGCTCAATATTACTATTCAACTGTACGTTCGCTCGTACGTACTCTACTATCTGACTCGCTATAATGACTTTCCTAGAGAGCGCGTTCGTCTATTTGTATCGACCAATGTCATTATAAGAAGTTCGAACGTGACTCTGATTGACGATTACAAGTAACGACGATAATATTTTGTCCGGAGGTCGTTTACCTCCGAATCTGGCAAACCAAAACAATGTTGATATTCCAACGCACAATAATACGAGTCTCTCCCGATTCATTCTTCAAAATTTTTTAATCTTTCTTAACCTTTTCGCTTCGGCATTCCAGTCCACCGAAATACTGTCACAGAACAGAAGCGCGTACCAGAAATGCACACAATGTGCATGGTTGCTGTATATACGTTTTCCTAAGTCTTAAATAACAATAATTTTTGCAAAAACCGTATATGAAATATCGTTTCACTGTCAATGGGTTTAACATATTTTTTAGCACGAAACAGTATACGACTGTAACAGTATACGAAACAGTATAATTTTGTTATTGTTGTTTCAACAATGAGTAACTTTTAAGAAGTGATTAATCCAATATATCAATAAAATCAACAGAAAATGTTCTGCCGATAACGAAAAAATATATTATTGGCTACAGATGGCATTGGTGTATACCCGATATATGGGGTGCCGAACTCAGGATTCGTCGTGTGGTCGCCGCCTACATGCGGCGCTCGTACCCACAGGTCATCTCGCGCGCGTCGCCTGTAAGTGGCACCCGAAGCGAAAGGGTTAAACTAAGCATTTTTAAACTAAACTCCAAGTATTATAATACTTATTTTATAAAAAATTAAAAAGTGCATTAAACAGTATATAAAAAAGTGTACAGTTTCATTTAGAAAAACGAAGATCTCGAAACGTCTCTACCTAGACAAATCTCATCGGTAGTCATCGTAAGACATTTCCCTCGAAACAGAACATGTTTTGTTTGAAACATTTTTCCGATTACTGTATAATTTAGAAGATATTTGCGTGGATTATCTCGATTAAAATAAAGCAGTGTGTATAATATTTAGCATATAGTGGAGTGCAAAGGCTATTCAAATTTATTTAAAACGTCAAAAATACCATTGACTTGGAAAGTGCTTAACCTACATTGTGTTTATTAACTTGTACATACCTTTATTACTTCTGGCATCGCTTGAACATGCTGAGTATGTTTATGCACACCTCGGGCATCCAAGACCACTCCATCAGGTACTGTAATACCTTCTTTGTTTAATCGATTTAAGGCTAAACGATCAGTCCTAAAAGCTTCTTCTGGAATTTTACCTCCTAATGCTGGTAAGACTTGTTCTCTAAATATTTGTCTTTTCCGCTGTAATCATAAAAATTTGTTTGCATATTAATATTACAAAAATATCGTTTCTAAGATATTTTACTTCAAAATTACGCCGTGAAATATACAATTTAAATATAAACGATGTTACTATAAGGTTAGTTTGTGATCGTCTTTAGAGCAATATATTTATACATTAAACAAGTATTCGACTGATACAACATTTTTATAAAAGAAAGTTTTATGTACGTTTGTAATATTTTCTAATATTTGTAGTATAAATACCAAGAGTAATATACGATTACCGATAGACTAGTTATATTACCATTTGTAATTAAAACTAATATCGTGTCTGTGTATCTTACCTTTTCTGCAACAACGCATATCATTAGAAACGTGGCAGTAAGTATTAAACGAAACCAATTTTCTTTCTCGATTATTGTCTTCATTCTAATGGAAAATTGGTTGATTTTTTACATAATCAGAAACATTCGATTCAATTTCCTAAAATATTAAAAAAAAACATTTTTTTTATCGATACATAATTATGAAACTCTACTTGTTACTTAATTATAGTCGAGTACACGGCCATTTCAGGTATTGGTATGTATTACTTTGATAACAAAATTGTATCACTTTATGAAAGTCATCAAAAATTACATCACACATGCAGTAGAAGTAAATGTATTAGTAGGTATAGAGGATGCCTAAGCTAAAAAGGATTATCCAACTATCTACCTTGTGTAATGTTGCGTGTAAAAACTTCTCAAGACAAAGCTACGTTACTTTGAGGGACACGTAAATCGATGAAAAGAATGTTTCCTCAAGTTCGTTTCTTTTAGAAGATTTCAAGGTCGTCGATTTTATTTCTAAAATAGAGATCTACGTATTTGCTTGTTCGGTAGATGTGATTTTCTGTTCTCTATACAAAAGTAGCAAGGTACTTACGCTGGAAAGTGCGTAGTTTAAAAGATATTTCGATCTTAATTTCATGAAATGTAGCGGGTGAAAGGCAGGCAAGACATAAACGCAAAAGCATCACTTTGCATTTCTCTTTGTTTATGGTACGCCAAGTTACAAAATTAAAGTTAAGATATCCTTTAAACCAAGCATAAACTAAGCGTTTTCAGACACAAGTGCCTTGATACTGTTGTATGGAAAATAGAAAATCGCGTTAATTGATAATTAGAAAAACATAGAATTAGACGACCTTGAGGGAAAAGATTCTTTCCACTGTTTCCAATGTCCGTAGATCAAAATACAATGATTCTATAAAATTTAAACTACGTATAAAATCGTGCACGCGATAGTACTTTACGATTATGCTACACGATGCTGTATATTCGTGCTAAAGTCTGTAAACATATCTTGAGTATCTTGTAGTATTAATCAACCTGTAGTAAACCCGATAGTAAACAGCAAGTATTATTTTATTAAAATATATAATAAATAAATAATAAAATATATTATTTTATATTAAAAGAAATTGAGATATTTCGATATGAGTTTTCGATATGATTACCATCCGGTTCAATACATTTCTACGAACGATTGACGTCCCACTTGCTACACACAAGTACGAGTCATATATTCATTGTTGAGAAATTTTCAATTTAACGTCTTCCCGTACTTTAGCGAGTCAGACTCGCGATGAAGATTTTTGCCCAAACATGAATATCGCCAGTCTGACTCGCGACCAGGTACTTGGTCCAAACGTAAACATAACAAGCCGAGCTCGCGGGCTGTTTTTTTGCCCGTTACGATCGTCACTGAATGTTTACAAGCATCGGTCTGGTCTGTTTCGTCGAACTAAATGGTACGGGAATTTAGCGCATAATGTTTGTTTCAAAGAGCATCGTAAGATACCCTTACACGTACGTTTAACAGAATTTAAATTTATTTAGATGTGGTTGTTATTAAACGTGGTTGTTATTAAACTTGAAAGAGGCAAGATTTTAGAGAAAGCTTAAACTTTCAATGAAGAAACATTACGAAATGCGTGCTTATGGAAGAAGAAAGTTTTACATAAGGGATAACCGATTGCTCGGAACGATATTCGTGGTTAGAGAATGACTTTCACTCTAATGGCATAGATAATCGACAATGCTGACGAAGATTAAATTTTCTATTTGCTAGATTGTTGCAAATATCCAAGATCGATCGTGCGCAAATTTTATATTATTCTTTCTCATAGAAAACATAATAAACTATAATTTACTATCATATATTGGGTTGACAACTAAGTGATTGTCATTACCACCTAACGACAAAATCAGCTATCACTTAGTTGCCAAACTAATAGGATAAACGCGACACTAAAATGGCAGAAGACTGAAAAATTTGTTAAATTAAACGAAATTGAGCCTCGAACAATGCACGAGGTAATTACGCGAAAGAAGCCTCGATTCTAACGGCCTTGAGCTTGAAATATACATGGTAGAGTGGAAGGGCACGAGTGACATATTTCATTGTTCGAAGCGTGGGATAATCATGGTTCAAAAGTTACGACAAACGGGAAATGGTACTTGTTACGTACATTTACTTCGATTTGAAATTAAATCTGCATTTGCATAGGATTGCGATTCCCAACTTCTGCGCCATAATCGTCTTACGCGCACGTCTCGGACAAAGCGCACGTTACTCGGGACCCTCTTGTCTACAACATATCGGAAAGCCAACAAAATTAGAATTGAATTAAACATAGACGAGCAGCGGATTAACCCCTACCCGTGCCATTTGGTTCGACGAAACTCGGGCCCAAGCGGTAGACATCGACGCGCGCTAAACAGACCAGACTGATGTTTGTAAACAGAAACTAACATTCAGTGACGATCGTAACAGGCAAAAAAACAGTCCGCGAGCTCGGCTTGTTATGTTTACGTTTGGCCCAAGTATCTGGTCGCGAGTCAGGCTCGCGATATTTATGTTTGGGCAAAAATCTTCATCGCGAGTTTGACTAGCTAAAGTACGGGAAGAGGTTAAGGAGTTTTTATTGGTGAGAACGAGGACAGAGCGAAATGGGTACAACGTGCACTTGTCATTTCTTCGCACAATTTGTAGTAACATGGTTTCTTTCTAGACGTTTTCTGACTATATTCTGGAGACGTTCTAGAGTTTCCTATACACTAGCTACCACGCTCGCTATGCGTGCAAGTCGTAAATAGCTTAGCCAATGTACATTAGCTACGCATTAAGTATATAATCAACAAGTTTTTCAGAATGCGACGTAATTTCTTTATATTTCATTACTCGTGTAATAGAAATTCGATTATCCAAACAGTTTGTCCTCCTATTATTATTAGTTCGAATATGGGAGGTTCTACTGTAATTATTCTGGCTATAGAAGATAGTAATTCGATGCAAAGTGAAGGAATTGAATATTGCTCTGGTACATTGTAGTGGATTTCTTGCTATAGAGTTGAAGAATAATTGAATTACTTTTGCACTTGGGAACTGGATCAGCTGCAGGAAGCAAAAAAAAGGTGAAAGTTTCGTTCACAACGTAGTATTCTTATCTTTTATCAATTGCACCTTGAACGAAGTTGACACAAAGAAATTTGAAGACCAATCAAAAATAGGACGAGGAACAGCAAACTCGAAAAACTACATACATATAATCCTTATACATTTTGCTTTATTACGTTTTCCAATATGTGCAATGTATGGTTATTTAATGTAGGCACTCTAGGCGTATAGACGCGTATATGTTGGATTTGCGCAACGAAATGACCACGTGCAAAGTTTGTTAAAAGAAATAAATTCAGTTTTCCTCTTTTAAATATCGAGAGGTCAACTATCGAACTTTCGATAATAATCTTTAGCAAATTTTGGAATTTTGAGATTCAACGATTATTGGTACCTGTAATTAGACGAACATTGTTCGATTTAATTTATTTTTCAATGATACGATATTATTTTATGCAATTTTTATAAAATTTAACGATGGCATTATGAAAAATAGAACTCTTTTCCTTTATGCATAATTAACTTTTACAGTTTTTAAAATTTCAAAATTTCGTATACGCCATGCGATAGAGGATAAACTTATAAATAAATACGACCGATTTTTAACATCTGGCCACTGCTTTGTACAAATCATCATATTCTTCATAGATATCGCTGTGATATCACCTAAACGTCATTTTCTTCGTTTATATTGTTCATGAACGTACCCGCAATATTTTTCTAATTTATCAAGGAATATTGTATTGTGCTAGAGAAAGTCTTCATTTCAATTGAACGGATGATTTTGTATTTTTGGTCGAGTTAGTGAAAGTAGCTTCGTCTTTAACGCTATTAAGGTCGCGTATTGCTTTAATTAATTACGAAATACCATCGCTTCTCAATGTTCGAAAGTGAATGAAACAGCAAATTGTTAAACATTGCAATAAGCAATATGTACATCGTATGATGTTGTACTATATGTATTTTTCATAAAGATTCAAGTTTATCCTATCATATTAATAGTTTTACGTTTTTGTTATTCATCGTACGCGCGAATCAATTGATGATCAATTTAAAATTAAGCCAATCGTGTTAGGAGAAGATACAAAGAGAAGGATAAAAAACGCTAGAAACGTAAAAGGAACGAATAAATGCTTGGGAATGAATGATTAATTTCGACCATAAATACTGTTTCTTTTTTATCTCCCCCCGCTCCCCTCTACTCTTTAAAGTTACTTTTTAGAAAATATTCTTCACAACTTTTTAGTTGCACAGAATAGGGAAAAATGTTTCGAGTAATGAAAGTTAATATGCAGTTCCACAGTACGCCCTGTGATCCATTTGACACGTGAAAAACTTTTCGCTGTCAACTGAAAACTGTCACGCTTTATCGCGAACATTCTATATATCTGATGTTATTCGGTGGATACTTTGTTTTCTGAATTTTTTAATGTCGAAATATCGGTACTTTACAGGACAGTCATAATTACAGCAAATATACTTATATTTTGCTTTAGAACGTTCTTCATTGTCTCGTTACCTAATCTAAGTCATTGTATCCCAGTTGAACGGAACTAGGAAACAGCATAATGTTACGTAGGAATCTCATCAAGTATATAACACGGTATAGAGCCAACATCCGGGCTCTGCGTGTTTCTTTGTACTTTTCTTCCGAGCCTATGGTAATACGCATAGTATACGAGTAGTTTATACATATTATTTTTTTTTTATTTATTTACTAAAATTACAATCAATTCTCGCGTTGAGAATACATATTATTTAAAAAAAAAAAGAAAAAAAAACTACACTTCAAATTTTTATTTGACTCGTAATCGAGTCTCTTCAGAAGACAAATTGATTAACTCTACTTTTCGTTAATTTCTTAATCTCAATAGATAAGTAATGCGATTGACGTTCGATTCTCGAGAAACAAATGACTTATTTCTATAGGTACATCGATCGTGACAAGATAGCATAAGTAAAAGTTATAGAGTTGGTCAAATATGGCTGCTGAACCGCTTAACTATAACTTATTTATTTATTTATTTATTTGTAAACATGAAAAAGAAGAGTCAGTACAAACCAAATATAGAAAGTGTCGGTAAAATCTTGGAAGTGCATTTACCGGTTATTTAGTTTGATCTTTGGAAACTTCACCATGAAGAACAACATGTAGTAATACACAAAACAGTTTGTCGAAAACTAAAAACGATATCGTGATTATGTGATCAAGTGCAATACTTTGTGAATTAAATTGTCGAACCGATGCATACACCACAACTTTCATATGTACACTGCAGCAATCGACGAAGAGACGAAGAGGCTGAACGAAGAATTCGAAGGGTTGTGAAGATGATACTGAACTCGCTTGTAAGAGTTCACCTGATGATATACCTGAGAGAACTGAAGCACGTGATTCGAGTTCAAAGTACTTTCACTGCTAGACTATAATAGTTCTGCAGCTTGTTCCTCTTCTTTCTCTTCTTCCTAATTCGCTTCTTTCTCACACTCACGGGCTCAATAGCCTGAAACGGAGATGATCGACGCTGCGGTGATCGATATCCTGGGTCAATGACGATCGACTAGCTGGTTGCCCTCGTAAATAGATAGTTTCTCGTTGGAATTTATTTTACTAAAGGAAAGAGGAGGAGGAATAACGTAATAACGATAACGCAATAATAATATAATGTATTAATTCGTGCAAATTATTAATGTAACCTTAGATTAAAGTAAATTTTTTTTTTATTTATTTATTAAAATTACAATCAATTCTCGCGTTGAGAATTTTCAGTAATAAAGTAAATATGAAACAATATATTATAGTTGTTGAGATATGTATAATTTTCTGTGCTGGACTGGGTTAAATGCGTAGTAGAGATACTTGTATGTGGGTACCAGTGTGTGGAGCTATGTGTGTCCGAAGCGTTTCGAAAACAAAGAAATGTAAACTGTTCAGTCGGTTAAGAGTCGGGTATAGAAGAAAGTGACGCGTGCAAGTGTGTATCGATGAATATATAAGGAATCGTTCATGAAATAAATATTTCATTATTTTAATATTAATCCTCAGTATAAATTTAGTGTTCCTATAACATTATTTCGGCTTCAAAGATCCACAATTCTCAACATGGTAGCGCAATTTTCAACAATAGTAACGGTATGATATTATTATGCAATAGTAAACAACATTATAATGATAGCAGAATAATAGCTTAAAATAAGATACTAATTAATTTTCAAGACGATACATTACAAGTACATATTATACGTACACATTATTCTTCTATGTTCTATGTAATTAGCAATAGAAATATTATATAGAATATTATATAGAAATATTATATATAACAGAAGATGTAGATATGTAATTAGCAATACAAATTTACGTAAATACTACTTATATAATGATATAAATGTTATACGCGCACATCTAACCGTATTTTAACGAAATACAAACTTAATAAAATTTGTGGCTTGGTGCAAAAGGTACCAACGTCAATATTAATAAAGTTATAGATGTGTTAAAAAATTCATGGTCGAATAACTTCTAACACAGAAGTTCCTGCTGTTTCAAATTTCTTTTCTAATACGAAAAGAAAGAATTATTGGCCTGTTTTACGTTGACTTTGGTACTTTTTCAAAATATAGTCATTTTTATATAGAATACGAAATTGTCATTTTTTATATAGGGTATTTGTACCTATTGCACCAAGGTACAGAAATATAATTAAGTTTTACTCGAAGCAAGCATCTGTTATAGTTAATTGTCCCATAAACTATCGTTGCGATAACTTCATCGTTAATTCGTTATCGATAAAAGCATCAAGCGGAGGCGTACTAATATGAATCATCCTTTCGCATCGTGCACAATCCATACCTTCACAATGTCGAAGAAAGATGTGTATCGCTCTGCATTGCTGTTCTCCTCTTACTTTGCTATTTCCCACGGTGTGGCGACTTTTCCGTGAAAGGTATTCATGGAAGCTGATACGCAAATTCGATTTCATAATGATCCGTAACTGTAAAGTAAGAAACCAATTATTCAAGTAGTCTGATCCAACCATTGGTAATTTTATATAATGGTCAAACGAGCTATGATAGTCAAGTAGCGCAGCGCGTAAAGAGTCTTCAGGCTCTTTGATTTATTGCAAGTTCTTATTTTAAATTTCTTTTCCTTTTTCTGTATATTATCCTTGAGTCTTATAAGTTCTGTTCATACGTGACCGTTCGATAAATTGATTTAACGATGTTGCAACTGTAGCACGTATACGTTTATTCCACCGAAGAAACGTTGGTAATAATTGCATAAATGCAATTGTGTTATTTACGTTTCATGGAAATTGCGATAAATTCATAGATAATCAGAGTAGGAGATCGATCGAACGTTTTCTTCGTAGTGAGGTGTATAGGGTCGTGATAGGTGCGAAAGCCTATTTTGCTGGTGTGTGAAAGCCGAGATAGGTTCTGGCTGCGGGTGTAGATGTCGTTGCAGGGGTACTGCTGTATTTTTTTCTTATTTAGACGTGGAAGAAAAATCGGAACTACGGGCGTCGGGATTTCAACCCGGGTCCCGAACGTTCGTAACTTAAGGCGCTAACAACTGCGCTGCCGTTGTCCGGTACTAGTTAGTGTCGAGTGCCGCCACAGTAGTCTTCTAGTTTGATCAGATGAATAATATTATATATATCGATAATAAGCGAACAGGGTTCGGGGCGAAGGTAACGCGCGGACGGAGAGCTCTGGAGAAAAGGGGAAGTGCGAAGAGAAAAAGGAGAAGGAAATACAAAGTGACACGAAGAAGGGAAAATAAAGGGTGGGAATACGAGGAGAAAGTGAAAGAAAAGCGAAAAGAAGTCTGGAACGAGAGAGAGGTACGAATTAGAAAACTAGAGAATAGGTTAGAAAGACAAAAGCGCGGCAAATAAAGTAAGGCAGGGAAACAAAAGATGGCGTTAAACAGAGGAAGACCAAGGAATAAGCGAACAACTTTATCGATAGCATCATTGACATACTAGAAAATTAATAGTTATCCTGAGTTCGTGACTACACATATCTCATGCGAGTCGTGATCTCTTAACCGTGAGATAAAACGTAATGTAGCACATAGACTGTTACGAAACTCGAGCATCTGCAGTTTTGTTCTTTCAAGAATTATTATACCCTATCACGCGTTTACTATCCGTTTAATTTTTAAACTGTTTTCCCATACTCTAAAAACAGCATGTCTATAAAAATGAATTTTTTCATTATCCTTACCGATGACAACAAATGGTAGAAAAGATCGAAATTAACGCGAAGAAAAGAATTAAGTTAAGAAGAAATGAAATTAATAATTATACGCAAGTTTTGCTTTTGAAATAATTTCTCCGACTAACGATTGCAATCTTAAAGTGTAATTTATTGTAAATTTTACTAAATAGAAATAAGAAAGCAATTTCGTTTGAGATAAAGAGTCGTAATAATTATTCAAATGTATGGAGCATGTCGCTAAATAAAAAGATGCTGACGAGAACTGTTCATTGTACCAGATTCGGAAAGAATTACCGCATTCTAGTGAAACTAGGAAGTAAACGAACAGACGCAGTATTGTCAGGAGTAAGATAGCCTTGTAAAAAGATGTTTCTATTCGAGTTTTCATTGTTGTTTATACATACAGCGGCTCGCGAAAGTAGAGATGGTGTACACTATTTTTCATAACTGATTTTCGTAGCTGATATGCAGACGAGCTCAAATCCAGATCTATGATACTATAACCTTCAAACGATCTTGAGTTCAAGAATCTTCAGTTCATTGATTCATCGGAGCATTAACGTCTGAATTTTGGTTTAAGAATTTTAAAGTTCGACACGAGTTCGTAGCGTTTTGAAAATTTCCAAGTATCAGCTAGAAGAATATATAATAGAAAAATGGAGATACCTGTTTAAAAATTTTAATTAATTTAAATCTTTCGTAGGAATCGCTTCGAACGTTTCAATGTCACGGAAAGGTCAAATACCTTGATCTTTTTCTATATCATTCAGGTTCTTTCAAATATTTCTGCGGTTCTAGATAAACCAGACTCACTGTATGTGTATTGCATTGAATTTTCCATAAGAATCTAATAGATATCTAATTAAATACTTGCATAACTATGGAAATACAAATAATTAGTCCTATCGTAAATGGAAATTGCTAAAGTTTCCATAATTTACACGCCAATTAAACGCTCATGTTGTGTTTCTAGCTTCACGTTATAATAGTTGTAACGTGTTACAACAGTTGCACCATTATGCAATCTTAGTGCAAGCTTAATGCAAAAAGATAAGGTTTATATGGATTTATATGGACTTTAAATATCACTTTGAATATCAGTGTATTTGTTTATTGTTACCTATTACTTATGTTTTATTCTTTGTAATATAAACATGGTATAAAAAATGTGTAGCGGAAACAGTGAAAGTAGAAGAAAACACTTAAAAAGACGTTAATTATGTCTTTGTTAAATGAATAAAATATATGCTAGAACTAATATAGTAACTATTACTATATTAACTTACTATATTATACTTACTATATTAACTAATATAGTAAGTACAGTTATATTTTCTCCAGTCAACTTTGCAATATTTACAATTAATGGAATTTCTAAAATTTTATTCCAAGACCACATTTATAATTCTAGTTTATTCGCGTGCAATCATTTTGATTATATATTTAAAAACATGTCTTACGCAAATGACGAAGACAAGCTATAGTCTAATTTCTCATTCCTAGATTTCTCTTCCCTTCTCTAAGACATCAAGTTCGTTCACCTATGTACGATCTCATTTTAGACCTACACAGACTTAACATCAGCTTGCTATGGACACAAACACGTTTTCAAATCCTGATACATGACGAATATTTTATGGAATATTAAATTTGACCTTTCTCCTCGTTATTATTAACTGTATCAGTTAAGTGTATATATTTTCAATTAAATATTCTTAAAACTATTATCGATGATCTTTTGAGCTTTTTCTGATAAGAGGGAGCCGATTCAAGATAAAACGAAAATGAAGAACGGAAAATTTTTTTGAGGCTTTGATATTATATTTAAAAATTGATCAGAATATTCCTCCAGTTAGACTAATTTCTATACACGTGTAGATTTAGGGCAATTTAAGTGGCGGGGTGTACAGTAATTGTCAAATTCAATGAAACAGTCCATCATCTAACGTAGAAGTAGTTCATGCTCTTACATATTGAATATTAATATTTTTACTAAAATATTTTATTGATTATAAAATTAAATTGTATTCTTATAATATTTTATATTCTAATTTAAATCTAAAACAGTGGACCAAACAATACAAAAAATATTATAAAATTTGTACGTACATACATGTAGTGAAAACAAATATTTTGAAATTGAGTAATTGTTCGGGTAGTGAACTGTAGTTAGCTGGTACTAGCCTGGCAAGGGTACAGGGGGTTTGTACGAGTGGGGGTAGAATTTGATCACGACCTTGTTTCAAGTTTTAACATGTAGAATTTTTATTGCACACGAACACGGGATGACATGTGATGGAAGAATGCGTACATTTACAGATGACGAATATAGATGATGTTGTTGGATAAAAATATAAAATACAACGATAATGTGCGACGAGACGAGAATTCCCTCGTAACGCGGAACGGAAGAGTCGATCGCGGATCGATACGACACGGAAAATCCAACGGAATTGCTCGTGATGCGAAATTATTCGCGGAACATTTTGTCTTTGTTACGCTTTAGATTTCGTTTTCGGGTTTTTCAAGAAAAACGCACGTGGCTGCCTCGATACTTTTCCGTAGACAATTAAAAATACATCGAATGGTATATAAAAAGATTTATATTTCCAGTTAAAGCGAAATAGCGTCCGTTAAATAACGTCTGTGACCATCGCAAGATGCGTCCTTCTCGAAACAAGGTAATTTTTATATGAAATACTTTCTCGAATAATGTATAATTTAGGAGATATTTACGTGGATCGATTGAAACGAGACACCCGGTATATCTTAATTTCCAAAGAGTATATTTCTAGGATATTGCAAATCATGTAAAAAGCATTCGTTTCATTACAAAGTTTAGTGTAATCACCATACAAATACGTCATTGCGCTTTGCGCTAGAAAGGATTTAGTTCGCTGATGCGTGACGGTACGTTTGTATAAGTAAATCACGATTTCAATGTAAATGTCAGCGATCGGAACTAAAAAGTGTTTGTGATAAAAGATTATTGACGTAATAGGCCGCTGTGAGGCAACAAAAAGTAGAAGCAGTTTGGGGGAAGCTTCGGGCAATGAATTATAATATTCGTATTCTAAAAGTTATCCGACAGTAAAAGATCAAAAAGTAATAGGAAAAGTTTGTATTCTTCGGTTACTCGTGTTTATCTTGAAATATTCGGCGAAACTCAAAATTTTAATAATTAATCTTCAAAATAATGAAAAATGTTACACAATCGATTTCATTTTTACATATACTTTTACAATATATAGGATGGTTGGTAACTGGTGGTACGAGCGGAAAGGGGGCGATTCTTTGCGAAAAAGAAGTCGAAAATATAGAATAAAAATATTTTTTTTAATTTTTCCATCGAGACAACGATCTACAGTGAGATCCGTTATAACGAGACGCGATAAAGTGCACGCGTACCGAGCCAAAATTCAAAGTCGATTTTCTCGAAAACAAAGCCTCGAACGAAAAATTTTTATTCTATATTTTCGACTTCCTTTTTCGCGTAGAATCACCCCCTCTCCGCTTGTATCACCATTTACCAACCACCCTGTATATACGTCCTGTACGTTCGCATCGAGTCCGAGCGAAGTATATGTACGTTCTATCTAGTTTGATCGAATCCGGGGCAGGTTTGTTCGTGATTTTGCTGCGTAATTATTTGTTTTAGTTATTTATGTATGAAACGCGATGGAGGAACTCGGCGTTGATCTCGAAGCTGCACGCCGAGTGGTGGTTTCTAAATTCTATCGGAATTAATAGACGTTGATTAAAATGAATAGACGAAAGAATCGTTTACGGAAATTGTTCGACGAAATTTCTCGGATTAAAAGGATTAACGATAATGTTACTATACCGGTTTACACTGCATCGGCGTTATTATTAATAACAGTACTAATGTAATCAGTACACAGTGCTGTTATATCGATTAATATAAATGTAAAATAACATATTAATTGCATTAATATTAATAACAAGGTAATTAGGACGTGGTATTGTTGGTAATAACGATGCTAACGTAACGTAAGCCTGTTTCAAATTTGCCAACTGATAAAAAGCTTATGGATACTTTAATAGCAAAGAACTGAATTAATGTTCACGATGCGAACGTTTCGCCTTTATTACGTTTAAAGTTACATTTTCGGTTGTTCGCTTAATACGCGTAGGATAGCTCGTGGCACGTAAGACAAAATAACCAAAGTGTTCCAACGTTAGTGTATTTTCTTTACACGTTGTTAGATAGTGAATCACCGTTAGTCTCCGCTTGTACCACAAGCTACCAACCACCCTGTATATATAATTTTTTCAAATAAAAATGTACGTCAAACGAGAGAAAGTACCCAAATGATTTTCAGATAGCTGAGTTTATTAACGTATAATATTTTACAATCTTTGCGTCAGCGTGCTAAGTTTGGTAAAACTTATTGGTTTGGAATCAAATTATCTGCCAGCGAAATATTATTTGTCTTATATTATATTAATTAATTAATTGCTTGTCTTAATGTTATATTCAGTAGCAACATTAGAGAATCGTTAAATTTTCACTGAACTGAAAATTTTCGCTTCGATCTTTGAATTGCTTTGACTTTTTGAACAAAGTCTCGTGCATTTTCTTCTCCCTAGTATAGAAAGAGCGAAGATGGATCTTTCGTTGGACATTTTATAAAATCTGAAAAACTCTCGAGGATTTAATCTTTGCATTCACGATGTTTCCAATTTTAAAAACAATTTTATCGTATTTCTTGGACACGTTTGATTTTGTAGAATTTTTACTACGTTTCTCCTACTACGTTTTCTTTTGGTACGAAAGCATCCTCGAAAAAAATGAACTCGGAGATGTGAGAGCAGGAGCTTCGTCTTTGCTGCCAAGTGTCTGTAAACGATAAACTATCATAAGATGGAAATAATTTTTAAAAATATCTAGAGCGGCGTCACTTTTACTCATTCGTATTTATTTCGATATTCGCATTATAAATTTTTAATGTAAATGTAACGTAAAATAAACGTAGTTAATGTAAATATAAAGTAAATGTTCTGTGAGAGATAAAGCTATTGAGAATCACAAATCGGCATCAATTTTGAATAATTTAAAAAAGAAGGCTCGCGTAATTGTAATTAGCATTACTTTCATTTGTAAAACAGCCTTATAAAAATAAGTTGTAGTAAAATAAGTCAATTATTTCCCCTACTTTGTTGATACATTGTTTTACGTATGTCGATGTTAAAAGATATTAATTCTATGCTCGCTATTTGACTCTAAACATTATAGTTTAGCATAAACTCACTTATATCTAATTAATCGATATAATATTTATATGTTTATAAATTTCTTCAAAGTTGTTATTCCGTTAGCTTCCTCTTGAACCATGCGAGCATCTACAAACAAAGAAAAATATAACGTTATTGTATGATTTTTGAAAGAATGCAAAGAATACAAAGAACGCAGTTAGAACGCACGTACGTATAACGTAAACAGAATACTACGACTAATTCTTACATTACGTTACAAGAAGTCTATAAATTTCTTATATTTACAAACATATACTCCTGGTTTATATGCTTTAACACGTTCGTCGCCACGTCGCACATATCTATGTGACGGATATACTTCCGTGGGGGCCCCGTCACAAAGTATGGGTGACGCTCTTCTCGTTCGAGTTAATTAAATATATTATATGTAGTATATTATATATAGTATATATAGTATTATATATAGGATATACAACATAAAAATATCAAAAACACATTATACCATACTTTTTATTAATTTATATTCTGGATAATATATTATTCTATATCGCGTGGTATTTGTTAAAACGTTCCAAACACATTTGAGCTGATTTTCGGCACTTCGAACGATAGTCGTAGACTCCGTCATCGCTACTCTCCTCGCTTTCAAATATATTTTCACGCTGTTTACTGAACATTTTGAGGATGAAAAAATCACCGATGTACGTCTCACAAGTATGCTTCTCGACTAAATGAAAGATCCGAGATATCTGCCATGAGATCCCTCGGAATACTCTAGCTGGACAGCTTATCGCGAAAGCCTATCGCTTTCTCCATTTCAGAACTAAATAATCTTTTCTTTACGATGAATCGAAGGCGATAAACAATGAACACCCGCTTGTCTCTCTATTTACGTTCTGCGTACCGGCGGTCGGATTTGGGCCCCGCAGGAAACTTAGCCGAATCACGCTGAGCGACGAACGTGTAACAGAGGACATATGGGTGTTCTTCGCCAATTTCCTGGAACTCGTGGAGCTCGGGAGGTGTCTCTGCGTCTATCATCCGCATCGATGCAATTCAACCAGATATCGAATCGTCGAAATAAGAAAAATGTAATTCTTTTTAGTTTTTATTATTCAGTTAGGAGATGGGTTTGGTCGGAATAACGAAACTCGTACGATCAAGATGATACGAAAGCCGCGACTATACTCGACCAACAATGTTTAGCTAAACGAAAGAAATATGTATTATATCTAAGAGTAAGAAATTGCCTGACTCTACTACTCTGTACCTATCCTGTCTCGCTCGACTACCTACTTTTCACTCTTACCCTTGATGCACGCAAGGCAGAGCGAGCAGGAGTCGGATAATGTGGGTCAGTTCTCGGAAAGTCACCTCTCCGGACACATGGCTAAGCACTTTCCCGATTGGCGGCCATTTATCCGGACATTACTGTACAGCATACGTATATACGCTCGTTTACGAAAGTATTTGAACACTTACCATAGAAAACAGAAACGTGTACATTATGCGTGTTACATGAAACGTTTTAAAGTTTCATGAGCACTGTAATAAGAGACAAGACTCGTCGTTGTCGTGATTATATTGGTAAACTTTGGAAACAGGCTGCAAATGTATATAAAAATTGCGAGATATTTATCGCAAACATACGTTTAGCAGGAAAAGTAGTATACAGAATGCATGGCCACCTTAAACATATAGTAAATGTTAAAGATGACCCTACTGAATATCCAGGCTTATTAGCACAATGAATAGTTCAAGTTTTCATTCTTTTGACGATCTCTGGGAGATATACAGGGTGGTTGGTAACTGGTGGTACAAGTGGAAAAAGAAGTCGAAAATGTAGAATAGAAAATATAGAATCAAAATTTATAGAATAAAAAAAAACGTCAATCGAGACAACGACCTACAATGAGATCCGTTATAACGAGACGCGATAAAGTGCACGCGTACCGAGCCACAATTCAAAGTCGATTTTCTCGAAAACAAAGCCTCGAACGAAAAATGTTTATTCTATATTTTCGGCTTCTTTTTTCGCGTAGCATCACCCCCTTTCCGCTTGTACCACCAGTTACCAACCACCCTAAGTATACTTGCTCCAAATATCTTGTAACATCTACATATATTTTCAGATTTATTTCTAATCGATTCAGATTTGTGCATTAATACAATCACGATAATCGGCTCTCATAACGGTGTTAATGAAATTTCAAAATCTACTACGCCGTAAATACGCGGATATACAGAGCATTGTATCATAGAGCATGTTGCCCTTCGCGAACCCGCTTCAAAAACGATGCGAAAGATTCGTACGAGCATTCGATATTCAAAAAGTCTGTGAAATTCTTTGACACGACTACCGCAAGCTCGCATACAGACCATTTTGAACACCTTTTACGAATAGGTATGAAACAACTGCGACCATCGAAACACAGAACTGGCTATAACTTCGATAGAAGGTCAGATAGTTTTTTCATCGTTTTCGTGCCTCCTGTCCATTGCCGAATTACGATCGGGATTGCCACTGTCACTGCCATATAGCGATATAATGTTATTTGTATGTGTGTGACGTGACGCGAGCTTACTTTACGATCGCATCGAGAGTGGCGGCGAGTAGGAGCGAGAGTGCGGGTTACCTCTCCTCGCGTAAAGGACCCTCCGGCGACTCTTATGATACACCCTATATAAGTGCTGTACTTTCGAATATTTTCTCTGTATATACGTACGCGATAGTAGTTTAGGATTTCTTATTACGAGCTAGAATTAAACGTAAATCGCGCAATATCTGGAGATCAGTATCGCGCCTAGGAAGAAGACGCCTTCAGTTACCTTTTCATGATCCTCATCCTGCGAATGTTTTCCAGTCGCCTTTTGTTCCTACTGGCGTTGGCTTTCGCCTCGTTAGCGGCGGCATTTGCTTTAGCAGCTGCTCGATTCGTGTTGGCGAGTTCCTGTTTAGCGGCTCTCAGCTGATTCGACAGTTCCTCGACCCGTCGTTTCGCCGCGTCCACCAATTCTTCCTTGTCTCGTAAAGTTTTTTGAGCTCCATTCGCAGCAGCCTGGGCATTGGCCGCGTTCGCCTTAGCCGTTTGTACTGCGTGCGTCAGCGTCTTTAACTGCGTTGGATCAAAGTAAGCTAGCTTCTTTAATCAGGCTGCCTCGTTCTCATTTTTACGGCACGTTGAAAGTATTTCTTAGTCATCCCGGATAGAGAAGTCGGAGGATCGTAAGACTGTGCACCATTTGCAATAAGGATACAACGAGTGGTGTACGCACGTAGATAGAAAACTAAGTTACTTCGGAGAAGAGAGAGGCTGGGCGTAAGTACACGCGTATATACATACGTTTACGCGTGTACGTAGAACATGTTGCTAGATACGTTGCATTCGCGTTATAAAATACATACGTACGTCGCGCTCTTTACGATCCTTTTCAAATATTCGACAGCATTTTCGAGAAAATGATCCAGTCGATTAAATTACCGTAAATAAATCGAATTAAAATTATACGAAAGGATCTTTCTCCGTGGATGTACCTTCTATGATTTACTGCGTTTCAACGTAACGTAAATAGACTTACGTTCTATACGACCTGTGTATACCTATTCCGTTTCGCTTAAGGTTTTTTCCGATTTAATCGTACTTTTTTCATATCGTTCTGGTATTGTAAATAAGAATATAGAAAGTAAAACTATCTATATGCTCGGATTCCAATTTACCAAGATATTTCTCAAGCGTATTAAATTCAAGTATATCACCTGATCTTGCGACTGACGCGCTGCTTGTAAAGCTGCGTTAACATTAGCCTGTTCCTGTTCCAAGGATGAGGATTCCTCTTGAACAACCGATTGCGCTTCTCTCACTTCTTCTTGTAACTGATCCACTACGACTTTCTTGCCTGTGAGCGCTTCCTCCGCTGCTTTTGCAGCCTGTACCGCTTTTTCAGCGAGTTGTGTCTTTACCTGTGTATTACAATACGTTTGTATACATGTTCTAATTCCGATTCTAGCAAATAACGAAACGACGACAGAATCAAACTCGCGCTATTTTTCCATTGGTTGCCGGTGCCTCAGTAATGCACGCCTAGGAAACGTTACAGACTACGTGTAACACAATTACTTTCACAGATGTTATTTTTAGTTGTTATGTGGGAATTATAGTTGAGCGATTTCGTAGAAAACGCGAGTTCACTCACACGGCCAGTATGTTTTCGCAAGAGAGAATAATGCGAACGTTCATAGAATATGCGCATCCCACGTGTGAGAAACAAATCTGACGTAATTGGATTCGTTAGAGACGAGATTCGATTCGAGGCTTGGCGCAATATAGATCTTCTTTTTACGTCTAACGAGATGCTGTTTCAAGAAACACGGAAAAAGGTAATGAAAACTTGACAAATGGATCGCGCTTGTTCTCTGAAATAAAACAAATTATCGCATATTTGGTTGTCGCACACTTCGAACACTTACCGCGGAATTCTTTTATGAATATACTATGTATTTTTACATTTTTATTAATACAGCTAAAAAAACCAAAGCTACATTGGAATTCGTTTCATCTACCGAATATCACAATGAACATTTTAATTTGAATGTTTCATATGTTCTTGCGCGTTACGTGCGATTCTCTTCGCATTTTGTTTGCAAATCCGCAGTCTGCCAATAAAAGACACGACTATCGCGATTATAAAAATAAAATGAATCTAAAAACGCACATCGAAGTTCCATACATATCATAAATAGTCTGAAACACAGGATTGGCGTTAAAGATACTCTCTCGCTTAAGTATCGTGATTCGTTAATTTAACGGATATACCAAGTTCTTTAATCATTTTAGCGAATCATTTTGTGATCATTTTTTTCTCACGTATGCTTCAAAAATTTGTGTTCACGAAAGAGGACTTTGGCAGAGTTCGAGTATCCGAGCGCTGTAAGCTTTTCAGAAGCTTCGGATATTAAACGACGAATCGTCTGCTCGACTAAATGAAATGTAAACGCGTATTTGAAGAAAAGTAAGTACTTGACGAGCAGCTTGCTGACCAGCGATATTCTGCGCTTCCGAAGCAGCCTTAGCTTCCTGTGCAGCTTTCTGCGCGATGTTACTACTTTTCTCCGGAGTTTTCTTCGAATTGTTTGGATTGTTCGGATTGCGTGAACAAGTTGGGTCATCGGCGTAACGAATTTCTCTTTGGTTCTATCGGAGAAATGCGACTGCCATTAATTACCAGCGGTTGCGTTAATTATATGCAAGTGTTGTTAAAAGTCAATCCACCTTTCAGAATAATTTGGAAACGTAATAACGTGCCACGCGTTACTCGTTTGTCACAAGTTACACACATAACGTTACTTCTATGTACCGTAATATTTCTTGTAAAAAGAGATTTTTCTTATGAATTCCACGTTATTCGTAAATTACACTGTGGTGTATGTAGCGAATAAAAATTACGCGAAATAAATTTATCGGAATATGCGACGCGAAGGTTTTCACCGAAGGTTATTAAATGAATTTTCATTAGAATACAACTGCGCAAAGGAATGGCTGAACCGAGTGTAAGTGTAGTAAGTGACTAATAAAAAGTATCATTAGGCTTACTAAGGCAACTGGAATCTTATGCACCCTTCCACAGTCAAAATATTCGAACGTCAGCAGTACTAAAATATTGCGTTTACTTGGTTAGAAAATAGCAGCCAGACGTTCTCGTAACAGTACTCACCGATGTAAAGAACGTAAAAGATGTACATTCTGGAAAGAAAAAATTTAGGCAAATGCCGGATTGTAATTCGTACAAATCATCATATATCAGAGTATAAAATTATTTATTTCGAATTAGTACGACGTGTGAAAGCACATTGACGAGAGAAACGAATGAAACGCGATTGTATCGAAGTATCGGATTTGCATATCGAAGAAGGATGAATAGTTGCAGTAGTAGATGTAGCGTACCTGCGATATATCATCGGATATTCTTCGTTTCACTTTTTAATTATTAAAAGAAACACAGTTATTATCTTCTTTGTAAAAATTACGTAGGCAGAAACTTGAAATGAACCACTTTGGACATTGTAAATTCAATTTGTATAATTCAATAAATACAATTTATTGTATTTCAAATTGAAATAAATGTTCGTTACCAAGGTCGAATATCTTTTACACCTGTGTATACTGGTATAGTGGTTTTCGACTGGTAATTTCAAGCAATTTTTCATCCCTCGCATACTTTTTTTAAACTCTGTCTTATTCAAGAAGTAAAAAAGTGCCAAAAGAATTTGTTTCAAATCAAGGTAACATGAAAACTGGTAGATGATATTCCAAAAACTTGGACAAAGTACAATTATCGAGCGTATATCGAGTACGGTTAGCCCACCTAATTTTTGATAACGATATCATAAATAGACTGCCGATATTCACGCAAATTCATATTTGTATGATCGGAATTAGACACATGGAACCTAATCAACGACCCTTTTCGTCGTAGACACTATATTTTTGTATAAACGTATTCCGTGTATCTCTGTGCTTGTCAATCTCTCGCGAGTGCATAAATATCCACAGCTTAATTATTAATGTACGATGCTATTTCTTTCTTCCTTTTCGAGTTGTTGTACGTTATATATCTGCTACATATTTGGAATTTAGATCACAACGATTTAAAACGTACCAGTGATATATAGATACGTTACTTATTTTGTAACAAGCTGATTTCAAAATAAAAAGAAAACGCGGTTTACTACAAATTTGAGCTACGTTATTTCTTTAAAGAAAAGTCATTGTGCGCCGTTATTCTCGATATCCTGAACCCCTTCCGTAACTACCGTATTACCATTAGCTCATGGTACAGGCCTATAAGAGCTACGATAACCAAGTAAGTGGTATCAGTTTATAGTTGTTTCTTCGAGCTGCAACAGCAAGGATTCTGTAAACGTTTGACCGTTTGACCAGTCTTGAATTTTGTGAGTACTAAAAGTTTGTTGACAATTTATCATTTATTTACGTTTGTAGTTGGCCAGGTAACGAGAGAAAGTTTCTAATAATTTCACTTTTTCAACATTTTGTTCCTCAGCAAGCATTTCACTCGAACATAAATAGCTTGGGATTAGAATTGATCGAAAAGCTTCCTTTTTCAAACATTTCCTTCAATTATTAACTTGTAGCTATTGCGCGTGCTATTATCCTGCAAATTTAATATATTTTTGAATAATAGTCTTCGACAAGATTTGTATTCGATGTGTGATTGTAAAATGATATTACGGTGGATGAAATAATGGGGAAAAATTAGAAAATCGAAAAGTTATTCAAAATTAGTAATTAATTAATTTCGTAGATAAAATGCATTCGACGTACAGATATTCTGTACTCGTCCTCATTTTCTGTAATTCATAAAATATTCTATATATTTTTATACGTATCTTGTGAATAATTTGTAATCTTTGTCCTCGTATTAATCAGCTTTACCACAAATTTTAAAACAATTTTAAAATTTGCTTTACACGGTGTACCTTCGTTTATTCATATGCAGAACTATGTCGCATATCTTCTGAGATTTAGGTCCAATGTAAATTACATTTTGTATACCTCACTATGTATATGCATCCAGAATTTATGTGAAAATAATACTTGATTTAACTGTTTTTAAACAGTTGGAATAAATGTAAAATAAAGGTAAATATTAAAGTATTAAAATACCAAGATTTTACAGAAATTCATTCGAGAAATTTTGTAAATGATGCAAATATCGATTCTCAGAAGTAGACTGTGGATGTGTATGCTCTTATGGGAAACTTAAAGGTACAACAGCGTACAAATTTCTATTTAGGTTTAATTTTTTTTTCTTTTTTTTTTTTGTCATTTTGACGAAAGCACGAATTTGCATAAACACATCGCATAAGTGACGAAGATAAAAGTGAGGGATACTGTGCGTAGAAAATTATAATTAAGCTTCATTTCAAATGCAGCAGAATCGATTAATTGATATCATTGTTGCGTTGTGTTTCAAACTTGTACCACCGGTATCCATTCCTTGACATATTTTCGCAATTTTTAAACATTCTTGGTAGAATTATTCTCACGGCCACGGATGAGTTGTATAATAACTTAACATTAAGTACACCTTCGGTTCTATTTCAAATCTAATACAAATATTTCCATTTAATTAACATAACTATTTAATTATCGTTATATAAATATTTTCCTATGTATTAAAAACTTTTGTTTCTAAAGCTATTACGTTCATTAACGTTTAGTAATCTTCTCTTTCGATTTATTGACAAAACTTTTCCAAAATGTTCGTCCTGATATTATTCGCAGTAACTTATTATACCATCTTATCACATCGCTATTGAAAATTTGTAATTTTACTCGTCGAATACATATTTATCAACGATGATAACGTACGGTTAAAAATCTTTTTCCTAATTCGTTAAAAAATAATTTTAACCGCATAAATCTTATCTCTTTTTTGTTACATTTGATGCGGGCGTTTAATAAATATCGCTGCTTTCTTACTATTTACAAGCATCTAGAATGTAGAATTTGAGTATTTTCTCATATCTCATAAAATGTACAATCTGAGTATTTGTAAATATCTAAATGTAGTCATAGTACATTTTTTCAGCTTGAACGAACGTCATTCAAAGTTCTTGCGATCACATACAGATAAGGTCTGCTTCCCATTGATTTAATTATGCACTTATGCGCATACATACGTACACGCAGTGCTTTTTAGAGCGTAACGGAACTAGACATTCAATTTTGAACCGCCGTGACTTGCAACAGAGTTGCACAAAAAAAAATGGGACGTACGTCATGAATAAAATTAACGTTAATCCGAAATATCGTAAAAGGATTTCATTGATACATCGTAAAGATTGAATTTACATTGATCATAATTAAAATATAGCGGAGATAAGTTGTCCTTTAAATACATTCTACTGTCGAATGAAATTTTACCATTAGTATACTTACGTCTTATAAAATTAAATAAAATAAAAGCTATTAAATAATAAATAGCAAATTAAAATAATACTTTAGTCGTTAGAATTAGGAATTAACGAAGATGTGTAAATAAATTTTACAACTTTTTTTTTACAAAGGAGCTTATTGAGTCCAGAAAATACAGATTTTAAGTTTTTTGTTGTATGATGCAGTTTTTGGGTTTAAGCCTTTTTTTTATTTTTTTTCTGTCCTGAAAAACTTGGTCGCAAAACAGGACGGATATGTAAATAAATCGTGGAGCTAATATGATTACTTTTCGATAAACAGAGCGCAGTTCGTGCTTGCTTCCAAAATTACTCGCTTCTGGATTTTGGCGTATTCGTCATAGCTAACGTTAATTAACACGTGGTTAACGCTATTAAAAATTGCAAATTTCAATTTACAGCAATCTCTCTGAGAAAGTTGTTATGTCTGCTTCTGTGGAAACAAATTTGTCCAAATAAGAAATAATTTATTTCTATTTTTTATTTGAACTCTCAGATAACGATTGCTTAAATAATTATTTAAATGAAAATTTATTCAATAACGCCCTCTACGTCAAAGGCTAGTCGTTATCGAAACAAACTTTTTAAAATATGTATTCTATTTATTTACTCTATTATTTTATATTAAATGATGTTACTTAAGTAAAGATGTATTTGGAACATAAGTTAAGTGGTATTTGTTATTTTATTTGAAATTCAGATATTTGTTATTTGACTTTGTCAGGAAAATAATTTTCCTCCCATCGATGGTATTCACTTCTACTGTAATCTTCATATTCGGATGCTCTATATTTTATTTGTATTATTCTTCGTATTTTCAGTTTTATTCGATTTGTGTCCAATAGATGACTAGCATAGTGCAACAAACGCTCCTCTTCCATCATCGAGTGCGTTTAAATCATTGTTTTCTCTTACTACTCCTATCAATGACTATGCAAGTCAATTATTCGATGAGATGTTTCAATTTCAAGTTGTACTAAGAGCGAATAATTTATAATAATTATATTATTACCATTATTATACAGGGTGGTTGGTAACTGGTGGTACAAGCGGAAAGGGGGTGATTCTACGCGAAAAAAGAAGTCGAAAATGTAGAATAAAAATTTTTCGTTCGAGTCTTTGTTTTCGAGAAAATCGACTTTGAATTTTGGCTCGGTACGCGTGCACTTTATCGCGCCTCGTTATAACGGATCTCACTGTAGATCGTTGTCTCGATGGAAGAATTAAAAAAAAAATTTTATTATTATACTATATTTTCGACTTCTTTTTTCGCCTAGAATCACCCCCTTTATACCACCCTGTATATTATTATATATATATTGTAATAATCTACTTATTGTAACTTATTCGCTCTTAGTACATAGTTATATTCTTACTCTTTACTGATTCTGGCTTTATTGCATAGCAATGGAATAATTATTAATGAAAGTATCAAGCATATGATATTTACGATGCGGAATATTTGTGTGAAACTCGATTTATAAGACCCATGGAAATATATTGATCTAGCAAAAAAGTTACCCTGCATTATGCACTATCGCCGCGGCAAAGCCGTGCTACCAATCTTCTATGACTAATACACGCTAAAATGTGAAAGGCACAAAGGTTTCCAGTGGGAGTGTCCAAAAAAAAGGTACATACGCAAGTGTAGCAGCTTTGAACCCGAGACAAATGCACTAGTTTAACCAGCGAAACTCAGTGGCATAGTAGCATTATTTTTTAAGGGGAAATTAGTTATATTTGTTGTTATTCCCGCGAATAATTTCAACTACACATCGATGAAATTGTAAGAATTATTTTTCGATTAAATATATCTCCTACCGTGTTTCGTTCTCTGGTATGTAGATTGCTTTTTTAATTTTACAAAATCTCCCGGCTATGTCGCATAAAGAAACTAATTAAAAGTACGAAATTGACACGGTAAATGTAAAACATAAATCTTTCTAAATATCGTTAACACGTTGATTGCCACAGTGATCATCGACGAACCACTTTGCTACATTTTTTTAAACGATTAAAACAAAATACTTCTGTGTCAAAATTTGAGAGGGTAAATAATTTTCTACGAAGGAGTATTTAAGTTGTATAGGCAGTGTCGTTGATCGAATAGTTACTTTTATAGTACTTCGTATTTTGTAGTATCGTTGACGCTTCGACGTGTTTTCTATCGTCGTCTCTACGCAATATTCTGCTGTTGTCAAATTCAGAGATCGGAGAATTGTCACGAGAATTTCCCACCGCTGTATTCAATTAATCATACTTTTATATCTAAATCAATGTACGTGGTATAAACGTAACGAATAAATGAGAAAAATAATAGAGTAAAATATTTATCTTTTATTATGCAAAATTGTCGAATAATATTTATCGCTTTCACCATAATCTTTTATCACTGTCGATTTGTCATTTTCGGAATTATACACTTTGATATTATTATACATATAGCAATATGTATTATGTTTATGTACGGAAATAAAATTGCCTTCTTACAGATTAAACCTACGAGAAAACAGATAATTTGAAACCAAGAATGAAGACACTCCTGCTGCTATTCGCGTGCATTTGTTTGGCAGAATGTGGTGCAGGAAGAAAGCACACTCGCGAGCAACAAGCTCAAGGTTACGAATACGAATACACTCAGGAATCCGCGCTATCTGGCCCCCTAGTAGCTGCAGGTCCACTCGCTCATGGCCGTGGACTGCCTCATCCCGGGTTCAGCGTTGGTGGTCCTTTAGCTAATATCGCGAAAGGCGCGGCGGAACAAGCCCACACGCAGTTAAATAATCAACATTCCGCGGCCGGACAAGCCGCGTTCGTCGCGAAGAACACCTTAGCGCAAGCTGCTTCGCAGTCAGCGGCTACCGCGGCTGCGGCACTCGCTGGCAAACAGATCGTGGTCCAAGGGCTGGAGCAACAATCGAGAGATGCCCACGTAGCGGTAGACGGGGAGAACCTGCAACTGCAACAAGCGGAACGTGCCGCAAACGCAGCGAGGACCACCGCCAAACAAGCGATGCAGCAGTTGCAAGTGGTTACAGCGGCCTTAAACGCGGCACAGGCGACGGCTGACCGCGCAGCGCAAGCTGCCGCGGAATCGGCGGCC